TGCTCAGTCATCATAGGCACGTCATTGCTTGATGACTTTTGACGTGAAAATGAGTGCTACAAAAATGAGAAAAGTGGACTCTGAATGTCGTGTGTTAAAAGAAGAATGGACAGCAAAATAATTGTTTACTAATATTGCTCTGATATGCTTTCTCCCCTCTCTCTCCAGATAAAATCTTGCGACTTGTGACTGCCGGCCGCCCAACAACCTGCCCGCTTGAACCTATCCCCTCCTCTCTTCTCCAGACCATCTCCGGTGACCTTCTCCCTTACCTCACCTCGCTTATCAACTCATCCTTGACCGCTGGCTATGTCCCTTCCGTCTTCAAGAGAGCGAGAGTTGCACCCCTTCTCAAAAAACCGACACTCGATCCCTCTGATGTCAACAACTACAGACCAGTATCCCTTCTTTCTTTTCTCTCCAAAACTATTGAGCGTGCCGTCTTTAGCCAACTCTCTTGCTATCTCTCTCAGAACGACCTTCTTGATCCAAACCAGTCAGGTTTCAAGACTGGTCATTCAACTGAGACTGCTCTTCTATGTGTCACGGAGGCTCTCCGCACTGCTAAAGCTAACTCTCTCTCCTCTGCTCTTGTCCTTCTAGACCTGTCTGCTGCCTTTGATACTGTGAACCATCAGATCCTCCTCTCCACCCTCTCCGAGCTGGGCATCTCCGGCGCGGCTCACTCTTGGTTTGCGTCCTACCTGACCGGTCGCTCCTACCAAGTGGCGTGGCTAGAAGCTGTCTCCGCACCACGTGCTCTCACCACTGGTGTCCCCCAGGGCTCAGTTCTAGGCCCTCTCCTATTCTCGCTATACACCAAGTCACTTTGCTCTGTCATATCCTCACATGGCCTCTCCTATCATTGCTACACAGACGACACACAACTAATCTTCTCCTTTCCCCCTTCTGATAACCAGGTGGCGAATCGCATCTCTGCATGTCTGGCAGACATATCAGTATGGATGACGGATCACCACCTCAAGCTGAACCTTGGCAAGACGGAGCTGCTCTTCCTCCCGGGGAAGGACTGCCCGTTCCATGATCTCGCCATCACGGTTGACAACTCCATTGTGTCCTCCTCCCAGAGTGCGAAGAGCCTTGGTGTGACCCTGGACAACACCCTGTCGTTCTCCGCTAACATCAAGGCGGTGACCCGATCCTGTAGGTTCATGCTCTACAACATTCGGAGAGTACGACCCTGCCTTACACAGGAAGCGGCACAGGTCCTAATCCAGGCACTTGTCATCTCCCATCTGGATTACTGCAACTCGCTGTTGGCTGGACACCCTGCCTGTGCCATTAAACCCCTACAACTCATCCAGAATGCCGCAGCCTGTCTGGTGTTCAACCTTCCCAAGTTCTCTCACGTCACCCCGCTCCTCCGCACACTCCACTGGCTTCCAGTTGAAGCTCGCATCTGCTACAAGACCATGGTGCTTGCCTACGGAGCTGTGAGGGGAACGGCACCTCCGTACCTTCAGGCTCTGATCAGTCCCTACACCCAAACGAGGGCATTGCGTTCATCCACCTCTGGCCTGCTGGCTCCACTACCTCTGCGGAAGCACAGTTCCCGCTCAGCCCAGTCAAAACTGTTCGCTGCTCTGGCACCCCAATGGTGGAACAAGCTCCCTCACAACGCCAGGACAGCGGAGTCACTCACCACCTTCCGGAGACATTTGAAACCCCACCTCTTTAAGGAATACCTGGGATAGGATAAAGTAATCCTTCTACCCCATCCCCCCCCCCCCCCCCCCCCAAAAAAAAAATCCCACTGGCTATAAGGTGAATGCACCAATTTGTAAGTCGCTCTGGATAAGAGCGTCTGCTAAATGACGTAAATGTAAATGTAAGAAATTGTTGCTGTTTTTAAGGAATATAATCTCAATCCAAATTTTTCAAGCAAGCATGCTAAAAGTGTGTTAACGCTGGAAAATGTCAAAGTGGTTGTAAAACTTGTCAACTTTATACGGGCAAGGGGGCTTAACCATTGTCAGTTAATTCAGCTGCTCAATGACACAGAGGCAGAGCACCAGGACTTGTTGTACCATTCAAATGTTGTACATCAAAGATGACACCAGACTTTGATGCCCTTGCCAAGAGAGGTGACCAGACCCATTGTTCACATTAAGACTCGAATAACCGTGACTGGAGTAGGCAAGGATTATGCTTTTTCATGGTGATGGTTATGCAAGAATGTATATACTGTATTCTAGTCATGGCTCATCCTATATATCTACTGCTGTACACATATTTTCTATTCATATACTGTCCATATTGTCTATACACACTATATATATATATATATATATATATATATATATATATATATATTCTGGACTGTGATATTGCTCTTTCTGATATTTCTTAATTTCTTGTTTTTATTATTACTTTTTTGGTTATTGTATTATTTCTATATATTACTGCACTGTTGAAGCTAGAAACATTACCCTTTCGCTGCACCTGCGATAACATCTGCAAATCTATGTACACGACCAATAAACTTTTATTTGATTTTGCCTTCTATGGAGTTTCCTAGCCACTGTTCTTCTGCATCTGTACTGCTTGCTCTGTGGGGTTTTAGGCTGGGTTTCTGTAAAGCAATTTGTGACAACTGTTGCTGTAAAAAAGCTGGTCTGAGGATGGAGTTGTCCCAGATTTCAGCCTCTTCTTTGGCAGGACAGTTTCAAAAGCCCTACCGCTTTGCAGTGCGCCTGACGAGCAGCGAGTGAGGGTGAACTACCCACAGTCTCCACATGGGAGCACTAGTTCTGCCAGAGCTAGGGAGATCTTACTCTGTTATTCATTCACCTTCAGCGGTTACTAGTTCATACAAAATAAAACTAGAGCAGTAATTTAACAATGTTTCGCCCACCATTTAATGCCTTATCATCTGTGTTAGCTTCTGTAAGGATCAGATATGGGAATGATCATTCAACAAGTAGATGATTCAGTATGCTTTACCATGTATTTTGTAATACATTCCATTGTTAAAACCATTCGATTGGTGTTTCTATTACAGATAAATCATTCTATATTCTTTCAAAGTGTTTGTAAGGAAAATAACAATTGTTAAAAAAGTGATTTTGATTCACATTTTTGACTGTTGATTTTATTTCCTCCGATCCCCCTGCATCTATAACTCTTGTTTGAGGACAGGTGTCTCCGCCCCAGACAAAAAAAGTATATAAATCTCTATATGAGCTTACTCAAAAGTCTTGCAGACTGACGTTCAGTGTAGAGATAGGGTGCACACGCAAAAGTTTGTTCTTTACATTTATTCAATTCAATATATTTCTGGCCTGTTTAACAAATAGAGACACATCAGACAGACACAGGTGGAATTGAAACATTTAAGAGAATGGATTGAAAGGCAATTTAACAAGAAACTCATAAACTCATAAACATCTCCACTCATAAAACGTTATATGTGTCCTTATCAGAGAAGAGTGACTTGTCCTCTGATATAAGCAGCAGTAATCATGTCTGGATCTTTTCTGGATTTCAGTCTCAGCCAGCAAGAAACGCTAGCCACATGGTGTAATGAAAGCTGGAGGAGGCCCTGTCTAAGCAGCTGGCTAGGAGGCCTCAGATGGCTTGTCCTCTTCTGACTGTGATGATTTTACTATTATTAAAGGGTGTGTAGAAAAGGACTGTGAAATCTTGGTGGCAAAGACACACCCCTTTACACCTTTTCCCTTTGTATCAATGAGACACTGATTGGAGTCACCTGAGAGGGAAAAGAGAGAGACGCAGGGCACTATTCAATTACATATAAGTACATGATCTGTGTTACTATTCTGTCAGATACTGATACATACACACATACTCAAACATGGACACAGTAACACAGGGGGGAAGATGGTGGGATGGGGGTTAGTAGGGGTCACTGTGTCTCAGTTCTCCGCAGGCTACAGAACAAGCAGAGCCTGGGAGAGAGAGAGAGATTCTGTAGCACTACAGCGTAACCCCAGTTGTCACACACAGACCCAGGGGCTTAATAATAGTGCACACGCACACTTTAATAACACCAGAAAACACACACTGAGGTATAACATTCAATAGTCAATGGACCATATTTAAACTTGTTCAATTTAGGTCTTAGGCTATGTATTGTTAGTGCTTGACTTGGACTGAAATAGGTGCTGGTAATCATTTTGGGTGCCGGTACTGTTTATATTTAGGTGCAAGAGCTCCACAATACTTTTAAGAATAATATTCTATAAGAGGTGCAGGAGCTCAAGCAGTAGAACATTTGAGGTTCCAGTACTCAGCTCCGGTGAGCTCCTGTCTAAGTCAAGCACTGTGTATTGTCTAACTGTTGATGTAAAAGGTATAACATGCAATAGTCAATGTATAACATGCAATAATCAATGGACCATATTTAAACTTGGTCCATTGACTATTGCATGTTGCCCTAGGCCTAGGCTATGTATTGTCTAACTCTTGATAGCTTACCATGCAAACATATGCATAATGTATATGCATAGCATCACTTTAATCATGCATTTTCCAGGGGTATTTTTCCAGAGACCCTTATAAAAACGCATGACTGATACTCACTTGTCTTGTTTGTTTTTACTCTTTTACTGGCCTATTGAAAACGATCAGGTCGACTACAGGCTACCATTTTCTCTGACACTCATCCACCAATGCACATTGCCACCTAATTATACCACCCTCACATTCTTCATTGTCATGTTACATCAAACGTTGATATGTTAAATGTTACGCCATGATGGAACAATGTTGGCAAATGTAGCCAATTCTTGGTAGGCCTAGTTGTCATATTTTTCAGAGCTCGCCATAGTTGTTTTGCTGCCCGCTGCCATTTCGACTGATTAACATATTGAGTAATTAAAACATCGAAATGCCCGTCCTTGATATAACTGAGACACCGGCAGACGGCAGTCATTATTAAAGCAAAAATGTAGCCAATCAAATGAAACGCAATCGGGTGATGAATTTGAAAACAAAAGATCGATCACGTGACCAGAGGTACAGCTAGTAGTCATATGACCTGTAGTGCTTCTATATACAGGCCATAGACACAGCAATTGTTACGCACACAGGACTTCGACACAAGCGTTTGAGGCGAACATCGTTGGTGCATTAGGCTGGTTTCGTCCTCGACATGACTAGCATGTCTTTTGTTAGTTTGGTGGTGTGTTTCCTTGCTGTTTCGTGTCTTACATGGGCAGACTACGCCCCTGACGAGGTAACCGAACTACCGGGAATGTCGTTTAAACCAAACTACCGGCAATGGTCGGGCTATTTGAAAGCCAGCCCTGGAAAGTTTCTCCATTACTGGTGAGTATCAGTAATGCCATACTAACTAACAACTTATAGTGTTTGTTCTGGTTGGGGATGCTTTCAGAAACTCCAGCTCGTGCACAACATCAGTTTGCTACAATATGTATCAGTGGGAATCGGTTTATTCCAAATGTGTGAAATAATAAATTAATCAACGCATGGCATAAATAACCGTATTATCTTTTTAAAAAGTCATCAAATAAACTTACAAGAGTGACTATTGCTCAATAGTAAATTAATACATACAGTAGTTATTACAGAGACAACTGAAGATTGTTTAACAAAATACAACTTCAAATAGAAAGTCAGACAGGCAGAAGTGGAAACACTTCTGAAGCTGGACTAGATTATTGTTTATACTTTCTCTTTTACTACTTCCTCCAGCATCGGTAAAGCATGGTGTTGTAGCTTGTACTTTCATTGAGACGTTTAAGAGCTAGAACACCCTTTGCCATAAGCTATGAGAAGTTAATGAATGACAAAATAACACATGACAAACTTTTATTCTAGTGTTCTACAGGCCACACACATACTGTACACACACGTCCACGTAAGCACACATTAAAGTAATCAGCAGACACTGTTGTACCTGGGGTCTAGAATTAAGTGCGGAGTGCACCAAGTGTGTCTTCGGGTGCTCCCTATCTCCCGTTAACCTGGCCCTCTACCTCCCTGCTCCCCCAGGTTTGTGACCTCACAGAGGGACCCACTGAAGGACCCTGTTGTGCTGTGGCTGAACGGAGGGCCAGGCTGCAGCTCGCTGGACGGCTTTCTGTCAGAGAATGGCCCCTTCCATGTGAGTTCTCCCACACCTTACCTTTTCAGCATGAGCTTAGCAGGACCTGTGATTTCAGTTTGTGCCTGTGTGTCCCAGTGTAATCTTATTGTATGCAGCAATTCTGAGTCACACAGAATAACAACATAATTTTGTCTCCCTCAGGTGAATGATGATGGGGCCACTCTGTATGAGAATAAGTTCAGCTGGAACAGGATCGCCAACGTTCTATACCTAGAGTCCCCTGCAGGTGTGGGATACTCCTACTCTGACAACCAAAAGTACAAAACTGATGACGACCAGGTGAGCTCATCAAGGTCTCATTCGGGAGAGTGAAATGCATTGAATAAATCGGACATGATTATATACCTCTTGTCATAGAAATACAGTGTGTATAACAGACATGCCTATCTGAACTTTCCAGTGTTGTGCTCCACTGACAGTGGCTCAGAAATAAATAATGCAGTTCACGCTTCCTAATTGAATACTAAAGTAATAGTAACTGATTTATCTCCCCCTTACTATTAGGTGGCTGATGACAACTACCTAGCTCTGCAGAGTTTCTTTGCCAAGTTTCCAAACTTCACACAGAATGAGTTCTTCATCATCGGTGAGAGTTATGGTGGGATCTATGCCCCGACACTCAGCCAGCGTGTAGCCACAGGGACCGCAAAGATTAACTTCAAGGTGAGTTGATTCACACACCGACTTAATTGTTTTGAGTGGATTCCCCTCTTACACTCTAAAAAATAAATGCATTGTTGGTTAAGGGCTGTAAGTAAGCATTTCACGGTAATGTCTACACCTGTTGTATTCGGCGCATGTGGCAAATCAAATTTGATTTGATTTGAAAATCAGAAGACTGAGCATAAAAGTTGAAAGCAATGTGATGGAATTCATTCCTATCCAATCACCTGTCAATGATTATGAAGAAAAGGAGGCAAGGAGAGGATGCCATGAATCTAATATGTATCTGCCAGTTATAAAGAACTCATTTAATGTGTTTGTCAGGGCTTTGCAGTGGGTAATGGCCTCAGTAGCTTTGCCCTGAATGACCAGTCTCTGATCTACTTTGGTTACTACCATGGCCTCTTTGGAGAACAGTAAGAAACACACAACACATTCACTCATGTGGGACTGTGTTGCTATGTTTACATTACTAGAGATAATTCCTTTCAAAAGCCCCACAACATATGTATAGGCTTGTCTGATGCTTCTGTTACAAGACATTGCAATGTGTTTAAGTAAACTATCCTCTTGCAGACTGTGGACAGATCTGAACACAAACTGCTGCGATAAGGGAACCTGTAACTTCTTCAACAACAGCAAGGAGGCCTGCAAGACACTGGTACACATGGACACACTTTTACAAACAGATAAGAAGTATTATACATCAAATACAGAAATTGGGCTACTATTACATGCGCAGGTTTAACATAGAAATGTGTACTTGTCCTTTCTTGCTCTCTCAGTTGAGCCAGGCCTTTAGTATTGTGTATGATTCTGGGCTGAATGAGTATGCACTTTACCTGGACTGTGAGGGTGGCGTTAGGGCCAGAGCCTATGAGAGGAGCATGAGCCACCTCTTCAGGAACTACAGGAAGCACTGGGACACCTTCCAGGTAAGTGCCCCCCCCCCCCCCCCCCCCCATGGAGGAATACAGTGTTCAAGTCCATCCTGGCATTAGATATTGATAGTCTTGTGTTCAGAAGGGTTGTTCCAGTTATTCTCTAATTATGTTTGAAGTGGTTATGATGGAAGATATTGGTGTGTTATGTAAGTACTTTGTGTCGCTGTAGCTGCTGAAGGTGCCGTCCATCGCTGGCCAAACTCCTTCGGTGGGTGAGGTCCCTCCTTGCATTAACAGCACAGCTCAGATGAACTGGCTCAACCGGGGTGATGTGAGGAAAGCCCTACACATCCCTGATACACTTCCGCCCTGGGACATCTGCAGGTATATTACACAAGTACCCACACATCCCTAACACTCAGGAAGTCTAAATTCAGCAAAGGAACACCTAAAACCTGACAACAGTAAACTACCTACAAAATGACATCTTTACCATAACTCTCTATGTAGTGACGTGGTGGGGGGACAGTACACCAACATCTACCCGACAGTGAAGGATGTGTATCTGAAGCTGCTGTCTCTGGGGGTGCGGGCGCTGGTCTATAACGGAGACACTGACATGGCCTGCAACTTCCTGGGAGACAAGTGGTTTGTGGAGCAGCTCAACCAGAAGGTAAGGCTCTTGAAGACTGGTATTTGGGTCATGTGGCATAGAGATTTGTATGCTGGGTTGCAGGGTATTTGACATGTTTGTAACTCACAGGGCATGCATTGTGAAGACTTTTTTCTTTCATTTCCAGACAACCACCAAGTACCAGAGCTGGATATCTGATGACCAGATTGCCGGCTTCTACGAGCAGTATGGAAACATCACCTTCCTGACTGTGAAGGTAAGCACTACTTAGTTAGCATATTGGCATTGATTCACTGTCTTCAGACTCATTAACACACCACAGACACATTGTATATGTTCATAAAGATTAGTGGATGCAACAGGGGAGGCTGCTGCGTTCTAATCCCATCCTCTGTTTCAGGGCGCTGGTCACATGGTGCCGCAGTGGGCTCCAGGCCCCGCCTTAGACATGTTCCAGTCCTTCCTGTCCAACAAACCCTACTGAGCATTCTCCTGGGGCTGCTTCCAGTGTCAGTAATGGAACTTATTAGTTGGTCAGGATGATGGCCCATTTTTCTCAGGGAGGGTTGGGTGGAAAAGGGGATCTGTTCAATGTTTTTGTATTGTTATCAAATGACATGTTTCTGTTGCACTCCAAGTAAGCTCAGTAGATCAAAGCAAGTGCACACACTTATCAGTGTTGGGGACTAAGCCATTTCTTAATTTCAGTAAATGTATCATTTTACTTTTCTTGAAGCAAACTACATATTAATAGCCTTACAGAAATGTTTTGATGTGATCCACCTCAATCTTCCTTTAGTGATGCTGTGCAATCACTCTGGTTGGCTTTAACTGATTAGCAGCTTATTAGTCTCATCAGAACTGTCATTTGCCTTTTGTGAATTTCCTCATGCAGTTTTTTTAATCAGGGGTTTTCAGTTGTCACTACTTGGGGGAGCTGAAATGCTGTGGAACTCAAATAGCCAAAAGGCCAATCAGCACTTTAAAATAATCTAACATTCTTTGTCTTTCAAATAAATGCTTTTTATGAAACCATTTGTATCTCATTTAATTTTAAGAGCATTTTTTAAAACATGGTTAATTAACAGAACGTGTAAACACATCCAAGTAATCTTAAGTGACTTGTTAAGTTGCGTCAAATCTGGTATAGGAACAAAAAGAGGTCAATACACGTCTTCTAAAATAGACTAGTATTTTAATTAATGCAAACACTTGAATTGGTAAATATGATGTTCGTATATATGGGCCCACTGGAAAAACCACGCAGGGCAGTCAGAGAACTGAGCCATTGTTATAAGTTCTTCTTTAAATACTCTGACAGAGATAGTTCCTGCTCCAAGCAGGCCTATCAGAGTAGAGACTGAGCGTGGTTTAGACTTACTCAGCCTATCGTTGGCGCACAGGCTGGTCCCAGACCCTTGGCGCTTCACTGTTGCCAGGCATTAGTTATCTCCACAACTTGTCCGAGTCAGCAACCTCAGACAGTCTGTTTCTCTCCACTGTAGCAGAACACATGTCCTTGAGCGGTTTAACAAAGAGGCAGTGTGTATGTGAGTCACAAGTCTTATCTCATCCTACCCCCTAACGGTTCCCCACATTAATCACAGCTTGTTATATTAAACAATCTATATCAGTACAGTACAAACCTATTATGTTTAATCATTAATGCTTTCTTATTTCCAGGGATGGTGATTGAGCACCAAAAATCCCATTCTCAGCCACCATCCAGAAGATGCAGTACACAACAGGCCAGTCAGTCAGCAAATTTAATTGGACAGGCGTTTTCAAACGGGTACTGCAGGGGTCCGCAATTACTTTTTTTGGGAGGAAAAATATTGGTATTTTAAATAGATGTAATACTGTTTGAGAACTAACAATCAAATAAAAGATAGACAGGGTTTAAAAAAAGGCATTCGGGGCACATACCCATTGATTTGTTTGAGCAGAGGAACAAAGCATTAGTCATGGCAAAATTGTCTCGGCTCCATGTCACTGTGTAGAATTGCTGGAAATTGGCTAGAAAAATGCTAAATTTTCTCCCAGCTCAATTGATTTTTTTTTTTTTTGAATTGCAGATTTTTTTCACAGCAACATTCTCTACACCACCAATACCTTTCTAGCTAATAGACTGGTCAAACTGTCTACCAAATCTATTCATTTTTAAATGATTATTTTTACTTGCCATAATCATTCACCTGATAAGACTAGATGTTTTACTAACACGAGGGTTTAGGACAAAACTATGACAATCTGAATTCAATGACAAAACCATCATGTTTATTAAAATGTAGATTGATAACAGGAGAAGTCAGGATTACGACTGCTTATTGTTCAACCAGATGACTAAATTGGTTCAGTTCAGAAAAAAACGATTTCCCTTGGCTCCAATTATGGAATACAAATCATAAAACAATAAAAAGTAAATGCATTTCAAGCATTTCCAATCTCATTCAAGTAATTCTAAAACAGTCATTTCTGCCCTGAGGAACAATCCCTTTGAACATGATAGCTTTTTGTCCCTTAAAGCTAGGCCCAATACAATCGTTTAACTTCAGGAATCAGCTTAAGACCCCAGACTTCTGAAATCTCAAAGGCATTCAAAATCGCTTAAAATTATAATACACTTGCCACATTACAGGTTTAAGAACTACAATTTCAGGATACGTCTTCAAACCACTTGATCATTGGAATTGTAAAAGTAATACAAAAATGGATGGAAATGTTTGGCCACATTCTTAAAACAGTATGTTCATTACTCCTCAGTAACAACACCTATCAGAGAGAGGTACCCAGGGGGAGAGGTACCCTCTCCCACTGCCCAGTTTCTTGAGGGATGGGATGCCACCTGTAGTGCAGTTGTGCATGCTGGGCCAGCAGGGAAAAGCATAGGGAGGGGCTGAGAATGTCAAGACGGATTTGGTACTGCTGCCCACAACGGGGCAAAACACAGGACTATTCCCACAATATAATTAAATAAAAACAGCAACATAAAATTGGCATAATCTTTTTAAAAGACAAGATAGGTCCCTTGTCAGTGGTTGCTCTCAGGACTCTCATCCAATCCTAAGAGCATCGCTCCATGGGTGACGAGTGCTATGGAGCGGTTTCATCGTCAGGGAGACAACGAGACGTGCGGCATGCAGGAGAGGTCACAGGAGGGAGTGTGTTTGCATGTGTGTTGGATCCTCCACATCCTGATATAAGTCAATAAAGTTCAGAATAGCAGCATAGACCTGCATCCTCCTCCTCCTCCTCATCCAGCAAAGAGTCTTGCTGGTCAGAATTCTATTGGCTGTCCGGATAGTGGATGATGTCTTGATAGATGGCATTGGCGGTGGTCTGGCCAAAGATGAAAGCGCCGATGGTTACCATGATGACACCGTAGACCACCATCCCATGCCAGCTATGGAGAGAGGAGATCAGCGTTCACTAACAGTCACATCAGGAGATTTCTTCATTTACATTTCTTCAATTACGTACAGGTAGTGAGTCTCGTCTTACCTAGCAGATCGGACCTCTGTTTCTGAGAGCTTTGCCTGAATCAGACACAGACCTGCAGGGGAGAGCAGACATTATATACAGGCATTATGCTTATTGCTGATATAAACACATTGTAAAACACACACACACTGGTCATACCTGGGAAGACAAAGATGAAGCAGGCTGCCAGTCCGCCGATGAGGGAGATGACTCGGCCAATGTCGGGGATGAAGAGCGCAAGGACGAGTGTGATCGTGAACCACACAAGCGTCTGCAACACCCTGCGTCTCCGCTCACGCCTCACACACAACTCCACCTGCTCGCCGCGGAAACGGAGCCATAGCCCCTCAAGCACCGCCCTGAAGAAACAAGTTACACAACAATGTAGCATTGAAATGGCATGGGTGGCACACTTTGTGCTTTGTAGGGTAAGGTTAAAGTGTCTCACCGGCCACAGAAGTGTAGAATGGGATAGGAGGTGATAACACAGATTACGATGAAGGCTCTTGCGATTGCCATGGCGATGTCGTTAGGAGGATATGACATCAGCACATCCTGACTGACGTTAGACCCAAATGACAGAAAGCCACAGACACCTGAGACAGGGAGTATGCACCATTAACACATCAACAAATCACACAAGAAATGAGCCATGCCATACAACAAAACCCAATGCATTCAGAACTGACTGTAGACCCACACACTTGACGAACACACACACCTGTGCCAGTGTAGACGAAGAGGCAGATGATCATGCCGACGGTGACCACACCTCCCCAGGGCTTGATCTCACTCCTTCTCATGCTATTAAACACTGGCACACTGCTCACATGACACTGAGAGATAGAGAAAGTGAGAGAGATTGTGTGAGGATATTAGTAATTTCAAGCATTTTTCAATCAAGTAATAGAAATAGCCATATGCACACACTCACAAACACAGACAGATACCTGGAAGCCAAAGCAAATGGTGGGCATGGCGTTCAACACTGCACTCCAGGAGGACGGGCTGTAACAGACATACTGGCTGATCAACACAAACAAAGCATGATGGGAACTGTAGTTTGATGTAGACTGTGCTTTAATGAAAGGCGAGTGGGCTGAAATGCAGTTTCTGAACTCTATGTCCCGTCTGGCACCATGGGTGTAGGGAACGGGTCTGAATGAGTGGGAATTGTATATGTAGTTCAGTTAGCTTACCTGGTTGGAATGTAGCCGGGGGTCATCTCTTTATCAGGCCAGATGTATTTCAGGATTACCACAATGGTGACATACCAGGTGCCAACAACACTCAGGGCACTAAAAACAGGAGAACAGCACTATCACAGACTGACCTGTATTCATATAGCCTACTGATAATAAGCAGGCTTCAAATTCTAATTCAATCATCAGTTGTAGACTAAAGGGTGGTGTGGGAAAGTGTACTTGGTAAATTTGTAAACGTGTATTTGTTGGATGCAGCAAGGCATACCTGGCGTATTTCTGGAAGCCAATCTCTTTGGGGATGGAGAGAGGCAGAATGACCAGGATGGCAGTCACACAAATGGTGAACTTACGGTCAATGTACCAGTGACCACCGACCACACCATCTGGCAAATGAGCTATTGCAGCTATCACTACAGAAAGAGAGAGATAGTGAGTAGAGGAAGTGAGAGAGATAGAGGAAAGGCAGAAGAGCAAACAGAACATTCCATTGACTAACGTCTTATTTAAAGTAGAATTGTTGTAGTGCAGGCTATCTGATAGCAGGGTCATAGTCCATCTGAGGCTGACCTAAGGTGGCTTTCCAACCGGTCAGCACTTAAAGCCTTAATGGCCATTTCATTATGACGGCACATCTAAACAGCTGAGCTAGAGAGGATCTCATTCCAAACTCCCTTGGCCCTTATCCACAGTGATAATAACCCTTTCTGATTACACTAATACAACACATCAACAAACACACAGATAGTGTGATGGTGCAACAGATGAAGTTAACCTTTTTTGAAGGTACAAAGGAAATGGAAAACAACTGGTGAAAAAGGCTAGCCAATGCTACAATCTGCAACTTTTAGTAAAATGACCTTCTGTTTCGTCAACTGTGTGTGTGATGGAGACTGTTGCACATGTTGTTAATGTTTGCCGTTCATACAAGGACTTATACATAGCTAGACATGACTGCCTCATTGACCTGATAGCTAGTGAGGTGAGACAGACAGTACCACCATCAGTGCATATTCACAAACATTCTCTTGTCAGAGGAGGCTGGTTTGATGTTGAGTTTTCTTGTATACCGAATATGCCAGATATTGTTGTTGTGGGGGACGAGCTCATTTTGGAAGTGGGTTACTCTTTTGACTCCTATATGGAGCAGACCATTGCTGAAATACCAGCCCCTGAACAGCCTTGGTTATCAGTGCAAACTTGTAGTGCTGATATATAGGAGCCTCGGTCATGTACATAGGCTGACAGTACGTGGGCTTCAGATTGCAGACCTGCATAGGACAAAGGCAAAGCAGCGGGCGAGGCACTGCTCTGTGTCAGCTGTCATGGGCAGCTTAGCTGTTTGGAGAAGAAGGTGGGCAATTCTACAGTAACACAGTGAAAACCATTGTGCCGTCATTCTGTTACCAAACTTTGCATCTGCACTGCTCTTCAAGTAAATGCATCCATAAGTGTCCAGATATGTGTCCTTTTGAATTGTTTGAATTCTTCTCGACTGTAATTCGATTTGTGGATTCAAATAAAGTACTTAAAAATGTGTGTGTGTGTGTACACATGTTCATGATCTATGTGTGAGAAACACTCACAGCGGTCCAGCTGGTCTCCAATGACAATAAAGAAGGCAATGCAGGTGCCAAAGGTGTAGACGGCGATGGCCACCTCACAGATGACCCCTGTGACCTTCCCACACGATGCCCGCACCACCTCCTGATAGGTGCCCTCATTACTGACCTAGGCAAAGAGCACAGGGTCACTAGGAAGAGTACTGCTGGATAATAATGTCTTAAATTGTCAATTGTGTGTTCGTAAGAGGGGGGGGGGGGGGGGGTAACTTACTAACCTGGGAGCAGTATGCCAGGATCACCAGACCGCTGATTATGAAAATCAGCATGGCCTACAACACACAACAACAGGACGTTTTAACAAATACATCCCTGTATAATATATATATGCAGTATTTCTCACTTCTGCTCCTGGAGTGCCACAGTGTGCAGGCTTCGGTCTCAAAAGTGTGTGTGTGTCTGTAGCACTCACCATCTGTAGCACCACCCCTGCAATCACGCCTCCAGCCATGTTGAAGGCGGCGGGAAAGTTGAGTAGTCCTGCCCCCAGCGCAGCATTCACCACAATGAAGACAGCGGCTGTGGCCGACACCCCTCCACTCCTCTCCCTGTCTGACACAGGGGGCCGAACGGACTCCACACTGGGGCTCTGCAGTAACCACGCTCTCTCACCAGCATCTTCACTCCCAGCCTCGGCCCAGTCCCCTCGCCTCACTGTTAATCGCCATGGGACACCACCCGGCTGGCACAACCCCCAAAATCCTACCTAAAACACCCCCAAATTCACCCTACTCTGTTGAACACAGACTTCAACACTAAAGAGCTGAGTTGAGGGTATTCATAGTTTGGGTTGAGGGGTCAGTCTGAAGGTTTGTTGTGGCTCTTGTGACATTCAGGACACAGATGACTGCTTGTCAGTTTATCCTCAAAGTGGATGTAGTGTTACCCAGCAGTCAACCCTTTCTTCAATCTGCAACAAGACAAACACACATTACAGCTTTGGCCTTCTGGACACCTTATCTCAGCTCTCTCTAAGTGCTTACTACCTAGGTATGAAATTGTTATTTTCAAATACAATCTCTTTTTGGGCCTAGTTGTGGTCAATTTGCGGTGTTCAAAATTATTATAATTATGTTCCGGCCCCCCGAACATTCGCTCCGACAAAAATCGCCCCTCGGCTGAATCTAGTTGCCTAACCCTGCTTTACAGCATCCCTCTGAAACACATTCTAAAGAGACATGTGATCATTAGTTTTAGATAGGTCTGATCCCAAGAGATTTTCACTTCATATCCCTGAGAAGCATTAAAGAGTAGGATCACAGTACAGTGGACTTCAGTGATCAGGGTCACTGTTCTCATGATGACACGGTGTCTCACAGTAGATAACTGTTGTAAACCTCACTGTCAGGCGTGTGACCTACACACTAAACAGGCTAATTATTGTGCTTGTCAGAGGCTATGCATTTTTGTAGTCATTCAGGTAGGTAAGCTATGTCATGAACATGTTGATTGTAAGTCATAAATGATAATAGGCTATATTGAAATACAAGGTGGATAACAACTTAATATCACTTAATTTAGTCAAAGGGAAATAGACTACATACTTCTCTTACCTCAATTATTTTGTCGTCATTTTAGTAGTGTTCACAAGCTGCTAGGCAGAGGTGGTAAGACCATAAACATCTTACCTACGTACTAAAAGAGGTGGTAAGACCATAAACATCTTACCTACGTACTAAAAGAGGTGGTAAGACCATAAACATCTTACCTACGTACTAAAAGAGGTGGTAAGACCATAAACATCTTACCTACGTACTAAAAGAGGTGGTAAGACCATAAACATCTTACCTACGTACTAAAAGAGGTGGTAAGACCATAAACATCTTACCTACGTACTAAAAGATGTGGTAAGACCATAAACATCTTACCTACGTACTAAAAGAGGTGGTAAGACCATAAACATCTTACCTACGTACTAAAAGATGTGGTAAGACCATAAACATCTTACCTACGTACTAAAAGATGTGGTAAGACCATAAACATCTTACCTACGTACTAAAAGATGTGGTAAGACCATAAACATCTTACCTACGTACTAAAAGATGTGGTAAGACCATAAACATCTTACCTACGTACTAAAAGAGGTGGTAAGACCATAAACATCTTACCTACGTACTAAAAGATGTGGTAAGACCATAAACATCTTACCTACGTACTAAAAGATGTGGTAAGACCATAAACATCTTACCTACGTACTAAAAGAGGTGGTAAGACCATAAACATCTTACCTACGTACTAAAAGAGGTGGTAAGACCATAAACATCTTACCTACGTACTAAAAGATGTGGTAAGACCATAAACATCTTACCTACGTACTAAAAGATGACAAGTGTCTGCAACTAGTCAGCCTCAACCCGCTTTAGATTTTTCTGGAAGTTGAGGTGATTTGGAGAAATTAATTGTCATATCTTGAACATTTTCAAAGCCCCTTAACGGAAAATATACCCCCTGCAGGACTTTCTTTCAGCCCTATTTTAAAAAGGGATACTTTACCTACATTTATTATGATTTTTTACCAAATCCTTAAAGGTGCAATATGCAGAAATCGCACCACCATTTTCTGGTTGCAAAAATTATAATTGTTCGCCTAATTTCAGTTTATATGACAAAACAAGCCCTCAGTGTAGAGAATCATTGTACCATCTAAACTGCTGTGAAATATATTTTAGGTTGTTTGAAGCTGGTGTACAAAACTGAAAGTAAAAGACGCAAAAACGATACTTAAGAACGGGAAGCATAGAAATATCGCACATATAACATATCCCGCTTCTAAGACTTGCTTTCAATGAGAATGACCGATCTATGACTCACATTTCTATGTGAATTTGGTCAGGTCACCCAAAAAGTTACATGTTGCAGCTTTAATAATTTTAATCTCTCAATGTTAATCTCAAAGTTCACCCGATTGATGCATTTAGCCATTGAAATTACATTTCTTCTTCCAGGGGAGGATGCCCACGGACCCCCCTACTAGTGTTCCCCTTCTGGATTTGGGCTAAGCCCCCAATGTCCTCAAATCATAGAAACGCCACTGGAGCTACCTAAACAATAACAAAGCCAAGAAACATTCATAAAATACAAAAATTTGGTAGCTTTACTAATACTCAACTTTGCATATAAAGCAGCTGAATCTTAGATTCAGATCTAGCTACAGGCCTAGAAAATCACAAATCACGACAATGATCCTGATTGGTGATGTTATTATAACAAACTGGACACCGGCACCGCATCATCGTCAGCTGTTGCTAGCTGGCTGATAGTTTTCGAAAGCTGCTACCGACCTCCCTATCTACATATTCTTTAACCAACTCAGTTAAAAATATGAAAATACATATAATATATTCAAATACTCGATAAATACCTCTCTATTGTCTCTCCGATGCTTGTGTTTTTCTGCAACAACCGCACGCGCAGTGAAATTCCTGCTGAACAAGCAAGGATGGCATGTGACTTGATTGGGATGTGATCATGTGACGATGTAAAATGACATCATTAAAAACGAAGTGCATGGTGGGAATTATAGTTTACTGCCACGAGAACAAAGCAAAATCATGCCAGAGGGTTTTCGCAGGGTAGATACTGCAGCACAGGAGGCTGCTAAGGGGAGGATGGCTCATAATAATGGCCTGAACAGAGCGAATAGAATGGCATCAAACATATGGAAACCATGTGTTTGATGTATTTGATACCATTCCACCTATTCCGCTCCAGCCATTGTCACAAGCCCGTCCTCCCCAATTAATGTGCCACCAACCTCCTGTGTACTGCAGATACATCTTCATAAAATGAGAGTATTTTGTGTCTAAAAAAACAATGATTTAAGTAGTAAAATCATGTCCTACACTGTAGTCCAGTGGTTCCCAACCAGGGGTACTAGGACCCCTGGGGGTACTTGAGAAGATTCATGAGACCATAGGCCTACTGGTAAAATGCACATGAGGGGGTACTTCAGGGGTACTCTGGCCAGAGCAAAATTCAGTTGGTGGTACAGTAACTGAAAAAGGTTGGGAACCACTGCCGTAGTCCAACGGTATCAGTTCGGTTTCTTACATTTGGCTTGACAATATTCATTTCAGAAAGAACTACAAAATAAGCCCAGTTCTCATTTCAATGACAGATATTTTATTAATTGTTCAGAGAAAGACATGACTGATGCTCCATATAGTTCTTTTTTATTTTGCGCTAACCCTAACATTGTGAGAGAGCAGCTTATCCTTTATGAGTAGACAGCAGAAAGGTGAATTTCCCTGCACAATCTGTCTAGTTACAATCAGAAAGACACACACAGAGAAAATGTTTGAAGGCTGATCCATGGAGCAAAACACTGTTTGTACAACTTTTTATATGTATTAATAGAAGTTCTATAACCTCTTGGTTCTGAAACGGATGGGATAGGAGTCGCCCAGTGATCTAAATAGCACACTTGTGAAATGCCTTCTCTTGTGGAAATACAAGAGCACCGTCATAGGAGTCTATCCTTTTAAATCTGCAATTTGTAACTTTTTGGACCAAATTCACATAGAAATGTGAGTTATAGATCAGTCATTGTCATTGAAAGTAAGTCTAAGAAGCAGTAGATCTGTTCTATGTGCGCTATGTCTATGCTTCTCATTTTAAAGTTTCATTTTTGCATTTTACTTTCGGTTCTGTACACCAGCTTTAAACAGCTGAAAAGACAACATTTTTGGTTATTTAAGATATATTTCACAGCGGTTTAGATGGTACAATGATTCTCTACACATTACTTGTTTTGTCACAAACTGAAATTAGGCGAACTATTAGAATTTTAGCAACCAGGAAATGGCGGAGCGATTTCTGTATATTGCACCTTTAAAACCTCATAAACCAAGTTATTGGGGGGTGAGAGAGACATTCAGTGGGCATTTAAGACTGGCTGGCTGACTGACTGCTCCCTCATCAACACTTAGCAGAAATGCAGTAGACCCTGCTCTTAGTGCAAAAAGCACAAAACATGTACAGCAATTGTTTTTTTTTTTCTTGTTTTTTTTTTTACAAACAAATACTGAATATGGAAGACAAGATAATGCAAGTGGCAATGCAAGAGACAGAGGCTGAGTGAAAGGACTGATTGATCATACATTATTGTCCATTTCTAAAGCATATTAAAATATCAATGACCGTATCTCATCTAAAAGTAGTGCCAGACAATCTTATAACTAACTGCTATCTGGAAACGCTGAGTTTTCTGCTACTCTACTGGTGTTGAGGAAAAGTTGAACTTTCACATCCTACAGAAATATGCAATGACAGAGTTCACAATTCATACACACACACACATGCAAAGAGACACAGACAAACACACACTACAGCACCTAAGTGTTGGTAAACTCATCTGTAGCCTGACAGCAATTTGGACCACAGCAGGCAGAGCAGGTTTAAAAAGAGAATATACATCTATGCTAATATGACATTATTAAGCCATTTATTCAGTTAATTCATATTAAACTTTGACATACAATAAATAAGCGTAGAAGAGAGACATCCGACATCAGCTCATTAGTGAAATGTAGGGCAGATCATTGGGCCATCACTAAACAACCTTTGACATGGTGGCCTCGTTGGAGAGGTCACAGGGAACTAACCGTTAAACAACATCCCTACCCCGAGGAGGGTTGAGGTCAAAGTTGAACTTGACGATGAACAATTGACAGTCTTAAAGAATGTCCAGCTCCTCTGTAAGGGCTGGGCGGGGAGTAAAATGACACCAAATGCTCTTTATTTAGGTTGTGACGTAGTTTTTTATTCGTTGTGTCCAGCGCCACCGTGCCCCACCGTTTCTCCCAGCATGCTCCTTTTTACTTAGTGACGGCGTGGATTCCGTGCGCCAGGTATCCCACGTTGCCGGAGGTGACGCCTGCCATGGAGATTCTACCATCCTTGGTCATGAACACTGAAAACTCCTTAGTCAGACGCTCAACCTGGGGGAGACACACAAACACCTGGCGTCAACACAATATATCATACTAGAACTGAATTCCAACTGATGAATATGATCAATAGGAATATAATAATGTTGTCTTATAAGGTTGTAAGGTACAGGTGTGGATATAACGAGTGGGTGTGGTCGTTTGTGTTTGTACCTGTTCAGGCTTGAGGCCTGTGAAGCAGAACATGCCGATTTGGTCGATGACGTGCTGCCAGTTGTGAGTGGAGCCCTCGCTCTTCAGGTTGGCCGCCAGCTGCTCCCTCATCTTGATGATGCGGTTGGCCATGCCGTGGACCTCCTCCAACCTGTGTAGAGAGAGAGGTTAATCAGGGGGGTTGATGAAGAAACAGAATGGAAGTTGTGTGTAGAGACAGGAGACCACTCCAAAGAGAACTCGGACACCTTCCTAGGCAGTCAGCTAGATTATGAAATCACAGCATCAGCGAAATGGGCAAACAATAAATGTTTTGGGGTGCTGTGTGTTTGTGTGTATGTACACTTACCATATTTTATAAAGGTCTGGTGTGTTGAGAATAGTGGCAGCGATTCTGGCTCCATTCATTGGAGGGTTGGAGTAGATTGGCCGGATCAGAATCTTCAGCTGAGACTCCACCCTCTTTGCTTCTTCTGCATCGTTGCACACCACAGTGAATCCTCCCACTCGCTCACCTGTCAAAACACACACACACACACACAGGTAAGATACCACACCGGTGGGAGAATCTTTTAACCATTCTCCTATTTCAATACCATAGTTTGTGAGTGAGATTTTGTCTGTATAATGAGACTGACCATAGAGGCCCATGTTCTTGGCGAAGGACTGAGACAGGACAATGTTGTGGCCCTGCTCGATGAAGTGACGAACAGCCCAGGCATCACGATCAATATCTCCACTGGCAAAGCCCTGGTAGGCCATGTCAAAGAACACCAACAGGTCCCTTTTCTGAAGGAGGAGGAGAGGCAGAACAGGGGAAGAGTTATTACTAGGACCATGTGTGTGTAAATAGTTATCTGGCACAGTAAAAAATGTCAGTCTTTACACAAAACACCAGTAGGCACTGGGCAGAAAAGTTCTTCAGCGATAGAGATCCCAATAGTGACAGAGACTTTAGCCAGTTGGGGCCTTTACAGATAAATCACCATTGAGGTATTTCATTTCTATGGTAAGCACACTCACCTTCACCAGGTCAGAGATCTCCTTCCACTGCGCAGGCTTGGGGTCCACACCGGTGGGGTTATGGGCACAGGCATGCAGCATGATCACACTCTTCTCTGGCATTTTCTGTATCAGAGGGAAGACAGTGTTACCCAACATTCAAATCAGATTCTCATGATGAAAATAAACCACCACACCTTAACCTTATTAAGTCAACATTCAACAATATAAAAACAGATCTCAGAAGACTTGTTAATGGTCCTCCATGTCAGTGTGGAATCATACAACCGCACCTCCCCTTTCTCATCCGTCTCTCACCGAGATGTCGTCGAGCGCCCCGTTGAAGTCGAAGCCGCAGGTGGAGGGGTCGTAGTAGCGGTAGGCTTTCAGCTGCATGCCAGCATCTCTGAAGATGGGTGTGTGGTTCCCCCAGGAGGGCTTGGGCAGGTACACGTCACGGGACGCACTGTGGAAACGAGACTAGAGAAAAAAGAGAATGAGTTAACTGACTGACACCATACACACTCCGCAGCACTACCGGTATGAAGAAATTACTGTTTTATAGAACACAATCATTTGTAATGCACATATATTATAGAGTAGGCAGTCGTTTCAGGCATTTATAGGCTGGTGCACTGCTCGAGGGGGCTATGGGCCAAAACGGAACTGTGGTAGTGCAGCTGCATTCATTATCTTCCTACTGATCTGTTAAGACGCGGGTCTTTACCAGGAAGTTGGCTCCGATGCGCAGAGAGCCGGTTCCTGAGATGGTCTGGACAGTGATGTTCTGAAGAGAGGAGAGAGATGTTAATAGAATTTCTATCATTCACTTAACACACCTACAGCAAATGTGCTTCCAAACTACCACCCACGCATCCACTCACCCTGCCACTCTTGAGGACCTCGCTGTCAGCCCCCAGGGCTAACTGAGCACAGGACTTGGTGAAGTCCCCCAGACCACCGATGGCCAGATACTCCTTATCCAACTGCTTGGAAGCAATCAGAGCCTCTGCCTAGATGGTAGAGAAATAGTGAGTGTGAGGGGAAGTAGAAAGGTTTTTAATGATGACATTTTCTCGGCATCCACTTCTTGACTGATCCAAAGCCCTACAAAATAGCATAACACACCCAGCTGGGGTTTAGCAGGGCTGCATGAGCTGAGCTCAGAATGACTGTGCAGAAATACTGTAAATGTCTAACACATGGGTCTGCTGGAGCCTGCCCCTCAAACGTACATACATAAAAGTATGCAAACACACATCCACACGGTAATAGAGGTTCCGTTAGGGTATACATTATACGAGCTAAGCTCAGGATGACAGTGCAGAAATGCACCAATCAGAAACACACAGGCCTGTAACTCCACAAAAGCCTGTATAGTGAGAATCAGCTCAATAACACATGAAAACCACCTTCATGCTCCTACGTGTTTGTGAAATGATTCGGTTCTTATATAAAAGGGCTAATAGCAGTGTGACAGGATTGGCCTCTCACCAACGCTGAGCTTGGGATTACAAAACAATAAGAGCCGCTGTAGCTACTCACCTTTCCTCTGAGGAGTGAGCCTCAATACAATATGAATGGCAAGGTGAAACTGAGGATAGTTCTCTAGTCTGTGTCTATGTGTGTGAATTTCAAACTCTGGGCAGTTACACTGGTTGTCATGGTATTCCTACCTTGCGGACACAATCGAGCACAAAGGGTTTGCCCTGGTCGTCCCTGTAGGCCCCCACCCCCAGGTTCATCTTCTTCGGGCTGGTGTCCCTCTTGAAGGCCTCCGACACCCCCAGGATGGGGTCAGGAGGGCCCATCTGCACTCCACCCCACCATGAGCTGCAACACAGGGGAGGGGGAGAAACAAACAGAATCAGCTTCATTTAACATCATTTTGCACACTTGTGTTCTTATTTGCTTCACAGTGGACACCAATGGATTAGTTTATTTTTCTAATCACTCAGTGTAGGCTAGGCCTATATTTCTCCAAGAAACTGGACTAAAACTCAACTGTAAACAGAACCGTACTACATTCTGCTCTAGAACGGTTGCCCTCACCCAACCAGAGGAGAGTAGCACCACCCACCCACAGTAGACCAACACTCTGGACTATGACCTGGAGAATGCCTGGTCATCCCCCAGTCCCTACACAGCGACAGGCTACACACACACACACACATTACAAAATCACCACTACACACAGCTGAAGTCTGTTGAGGTGAAGGGCCCGGGTTGGATGGCGTTAGGGGGAGTGACTAAAAGGGAGGAGATGTGCTGCACTAAATACATGAACATCTCTCTCCATCGCCACTACACTACCAGAATGACAGTTCTAAAGGGCAGGGGGAGAGTGGTAGAAACAAAGGCAGCGATTGGTTCTTTGAAATTCAGAACAAACTCATTCATCATATCTTTGGATCTGGTCATTACAGCCTGGTCTTTCTTTCACACTGACCCCAACAAGCTGATTATCCACCCAATACTTTGCCCTTCCCTTTCAACACACACACACAGTAACGAAGACACAGATTAACAGCTCATGCGAAAGTCCGGCACTGCAAACATATGCTCTCACACACACACACACACAATGCAAAAAACTATTCCCTCCCCCTGTATGGAATGCGTCTTATGGGGAGGAAAGAACAGATAATTAGCAGGGGCCCAGTTCAGGAGCTAATTGCATTACACACACACACACCCCAAACACATACTGCTTCCACATGACCTTGCCCCTGACCTCTTACACATGCAGGGCCTCTAATCTTACATATTCCTCTCACTGCTGTACTGGGGGGTTATAGGCCTACTGAGGTTGAACTAGAGATAATTCAAAGGGCTGCAAAGTTTAGAACATAGCATGGAAAAGTTGACAACAACACTCCCAACAGAGAATCACATCTGTTTTAGACAGCCTACATTTCTATTGGAACCTTCTGTAACATTGCACGCTCTAAAACGGTTGTGTCTGATGCTACTCACCAGTGTGTACTGGTACAGTAGTCTGTCAAATGTAATGGTGACCCACTATGACTTGAGCAGTGATCCTCTGCAGCTCATTGAGATTCAGGTTGAACGGTTGTGTTCAAACACCCTGGAACTCACAGCTATACTTAGAGCCGAAGGCTTCGCAAAGGGCAGCAACGCCAAAACTGCAACACGAGACTATAGACAAGAATGATGACATGACAACCACCTCGAGCCTTAGGGAACACACTGAACAGTCACCTGTCATAGAGCCTGTTTACATAGCATTATAGAACCTCTTGAAAATGTGAACGCTTTCCTATGAGCGTCCATTGTCCAATAACAAAAAGATCTCAGGTGACTAAAATGTAACACTCAGCCAGCCAGAAACATTGGGACTGCACATTAAAATTAGATCCTCAATCAGTAACACTGATAACAAATATGAATACTTTTTATCTGATTCTGACAAATCTGTTATCAGAGTAAGAAGAACCTGGGTATATTATCGGCCTACCTACTGGTTCATACTGCTACTACTAACGGTAGCTAACTCCGTTCCGTACATATGTGGGCAACCGCGGCTGCAATGAAAACTAATGGGACTGCAGCGACTGTGTTGGCATCAAAATCAGAGTTCATTGACATGGTAATGTATCAGCAGTTTGTGCGAGCTACATACACTCAGAACCTTAGTACATTTTAACTTGTGAGGTGTCGAGCAAACATAAATATGCTTGGTATACACTTCATAGGCCCAGGGAGTACACTGAGTTCTATTTATGCCAGCACCAATGCGGGCCATCCAATGTGGAGTCACAGACTTGGATTTAGCCTGCTAAAATAATAAAATGAACTTGAATACAGACCGAAATTATTTTTGCATGAGAATAATGTAACACTCGGCGCACGGTCTTCTAACAAAAACCAACAGTGATGCAGTGTATTTGCAGATGCTTTTCGAACACTGTCTGTTTTCCAGAGATGTGGAGCGGTCTCTTATAAGCGAACAGAGTTTGCCCTCCAAGAAAAAAGCGAAAGGACACCGGTTACTGTCGTCACATCTCCGTAGAAACCGGGGCATCTCTTGGCCAATCAGCGACCAGGGGCCTGTACACGATAACCAATGATCACGCTAGAATTTGGGAGCTACGGTATGCGAGGGAGATCAAAAAGAAGAAATACGTCGAATCTCAAAGGCTAAATGCCACTGCGACCCTAAAATATAAAAATGCTTGAATCATTTACCTTTCATAGGAAGAACTGAATGATCACTATGATACGATGACAACATACTGATACACAGCCACTGAATACTGAATAATATTTTTACAGAGCCACCAAATAACAGTATCAGTACCCATGGCTGGAAAGTAACCTTGCCAAGTTCGATTGTAAGTGAACTAGTTGAGTCTTGAAGTCTACACGTATGACTTGACTAAAGCCAAAAATATGAACAGGCAGTTTCAGTCACGACAGGTGGCAGATGGATGAATGCGAGTTTCAGTCTGTTAGCTAACTAACTATCCAAATCAAATGTAATTTAAATATTAGGTAGATAGCTAGCTAAACTACAGTGAGAGAAGTAAGTGCATGACCACTTCTGACTCCCGTTCAGTAAACTTGATGTTAGACCACTTGAGTCAGAGAGGGCATGGCTAGCTAGCTTGCTAACTAAGTGCTGCTAGCTATTAATTCAATGTCAAACTACCAAAGTAGCTACGTGTCAAACATGACAGTGCAGAGATTGCATGTCTGGTATTACCTGTTACGGGTAGACAAAACTCCCAAGGATGGTGAGAAAGTCCCAATACTGGAGATCACTTTGCTGGACTTCAACAGAGCCATGGTTGAGCAGGGGCGCAGAGTGACGGAAAAAGCCAAGAGTGAGGATATGAATGGGAGGGACAATAGGGGCAATGAAGCGCGCAAGTCTTCTTCTTCTATGGTATTATGGCGGTCCGCAAACAAACGTTAGAGGTGCATGCCGCCGCCAACTGGACGAGGGTGAATAAATTCAATCGCCACGGTAGAAGAGTAGTGTGTTTGAAGTGGAGGGCGTACATGGCTTAGCCTTTCTCTCAAAGAGGCAAAAAATAGATTTTGGTTTGAAAAAGTTGAATATTTTCAGAAGGATTCGCAGAAGATGGGTTTGAATCTGTTCAAGCGAGCAATAACAAGGAAGAGGGTGTCGAGGAAGATTGGTGTCAAGTTCAAACAGAGTGAACCAGACACCAGTTTGATCTCTGGAGGTGAAATGGTAGGGGTAGAAGGTCTTGTGAGGAGCTCGGAGCCTGAGCTTTGCATTGATGGACATAGTGGGATATTTGATGGACTGGGAGTGGGATTTTTGAAGAGGGTGGAACCAGGCCTTTTGGCTGATTCATGGGTTTAAGGTTGGGTGGAAAAGATAGTGGTTGCTGATGAGTCGGTAAAGGTAACCCGAAGTTCACTTTTTATGTTTTTTTGTGTTTCTTCAGATCAGAGGGAGCAGGCACTCCGTGCGAGCCAACTTGGGTAAATATCTGTTTCTTGCTTTGCTCTTAGGAACAGGGCACCATTGAAATGAGTGATTTCTGGGGTAGCGTTAAGTGTGGAGGTGGAGCAATTTAAGTTGAAGATTCCTGGTGTTTGTGACGCCCGCCGTTTGGTGCGACAAAGACCCGGTGGTAAGCGTGGTGAAACAGAGGAGTCACTGTCAACCTTTTGAGTCAGAGTCTTTACGCAAAAAGGTCAGGATATATCAGTTATCTTGTTAGAGCGTTTGTGCAGAAACCACTGCACTGTTTCAGGTGCACCGTTTACGGTCATGTTGCAGTGTGTAGAAGTGTGTAGAAGGGAGAGTCCAAGATGTGGGAAGTGTGCAGGAGGGCATGGGATAGAGGACTGTGTCGTTTCGGTAGATAAAGTTGTGTGTGTCAACTGTAGGGGTGCTGGGGATCAGAAGTGTCCAGTTCAAGAGAGGCAGGTTGAGGTGGCTAGAGTCAGAGTAGTGCAGAAGGTGTCTTATGATGAGGCAGTGAAGAAAATAGAGGAGGATGGGTCAAGACTGAGGGATTCTGAGAGGATCGCTGTGAATTGTAGATCTGTGCCAGCACAGAGGAATAGACCAGTGAGTGATACAGTGAGTGACCCGTAGCACTGACGTCTGTAGCCATGAAGTGATTTGAAAGGCTGGTCATGGCTCACATCAACACCATTATCCCAGAAACCCTAGACCCACTCCAATTTCCATACCGCTCCAACAGATCCACAGATGATGCAATCTCTATTGCACTCCACACTGCCCTTTCCCACCTGGACAAGAGGAACACCTATGTGAGAATGCTATTCATTGACTACAGCTCAGCGTTCAACACCAAAGTACCCTCAAAGCTCATCACTAAGCTAAGGATCCTGGGACTAAACACCTCCCTCTGCAACTGGATCCTGGACTTCCTGACGGGCCGCCCCCAGGTGGTAAGGGTAGGTAACAACACATCTGCCACGCTGATCCTCAACACGGGGGCCCCTCAGGGGTGCATGCTCAGTCCCCTCCTGTACTCCCTGTTCACCCATGACTGCATGGCCAGGCACAACTCCAACACCATCATTCAGTTTGCCGACGACACAACAGTGGTAGGCCTGATCACCGACAACGATGAGACAGCCTATAGGGAGGAGGTCAGAGACCTGGCCGTGTGTTGCCAGGATAACAACCTCTCCCTCAACGTGACCAAGACAAAGGAGATGATTGTGGTCTACAGGAAAAAAAAGAGGACTGAGCACGCCCCCATTCTCATCGACGGGGCTGTAGTGGAACAGGTTGAGAGCTTCATGTTCACCAACAAACTATCATGGTCCAAACACACCAAGACAGTCGTGAAGAGGGCACGACAAAGCCTATTCCCCCTCAGGAGCCTGAAAAGATTTGGCATGGGTCCTCAGATCCTCAAAAAGTCCTACAGCTGCACCATCGAGAGCATCCTGACTGGTTGCATCACCGCCTGGTATGGCAACTGCTCGGCCTCCGACCGCAAGGCACTACAGAGGGTAGTGCGTACGGCCCAGTACATCACTGGGGCCAAGCTTCCTGCCATCCATGACCTCTATACCAGGCGGTGTCAGAGGAAGGCCCTCAAAATTGTCAAAGACTCCAGCCACCCTAGTCATAGACTCTTCTCTCTGCTACCACACGGCAAGTGGTACCGGAGCACCAAGTCTAGGTCCAAAAGGCTTCTCAACAGCTTCTACCCCCAAGCCATGAGACTCCTGAACAGCTAATCATGGCTACCCAGACTATTTGCACCCCCACCCCATCTTTTTACATTGCTGCTACTCTGTTAATTATTTATGCATAGTCACTTGAACTTTACCCACATGTACATGTTACCTCAACTAGCCGGTGCCCCCGCACATTGACTCTGCACCGGTACCCCCCTGTATATAGCCTCCCTACTGTTATTTTATTTTACTTATGCTCTTTCTTTCTCAACACTTTTTTGTTGTTGTTGTTTTATTTTACTTTTTTATCAAGAAATAAATGCATTGTTTGTTAAGGGTTGTAAGTAAGCATTTCACGGTAATGTCTACACCTGTTGTATTCGGCGCATGTGGCAAATAAAATTTGATTTGATTTGGAAAGTATTCAGACCCCTTGACTTTTTCCACATTTTGTCACCTCATAGACTTATTCTAAAATGGATTACATAGTTTTTTTCCCCCCTCATCAATCTACACACAATACCCCATAATGACGAAGCAAAAACAAGTTTATAAATAAATTATAAATAAAAACTGAAATATTACATTTACATAAGTATTCAGACCCTTTACTCAGAACCTTGTTGAAGCACCATTGGCAGCAATTACAGCCTAGAGTCTTCTTGGGTATGACGCTACAAGCTTGGCACACCTGTATTTGGGGAGTTTCTCCCATTCTTCTCTACAGATCCTCTCAAGCTCTGTCAGGTTGGATGGGGAGCATAGCTGCACAGCTATTTTCAGGTCTTTCCAGAGATGTTAGATCGGGTTCAAGTCCGGGCCCTGGCTGGGCCATTTAAGGACATTCACAGAGATTGTCCCGAAGCCACTCCTGCATTGTCTGGGCTGTGTGCTTAGGGTCGTTGTCCTGTTGGAAGGTGAACCTTCGCCCGAGTCTGAGGTCCTGAGCGCTCTGGAGCAGGATTTCATCAAGGATCTCTCTGTACTCTGCTTTGTTCATCTTTCCCTCGATCCTGACTAGTCTCTCAGTCCCTGCCGCTGAAAAACATCCCCACAGCATGATGCTGCCACCACCATGCTTCACTGTAGGGATGATGCCAGGTTTCCTCCAGACGTGATGCTTGGCATTCAGGCCAAAGAGTTCAATCTTGGTTTCATCATACCAGAGAATCTTGTTTCTAATGGCCTGAGAGTCCTTTAGGTGCCTTTTGGCAAACTCCAAGCAGGGTGTCATGTGCCTTTTACTGAGGAGTGGCTTCCGTCTGGCCACTCTACCATAAAGGCCTGATTGGTGGAGTGCTGTAGAAATGGTTGTCCTTCTGGAAGGTTCTCCCATATCCGCAGAGGAACTCTGGAGCGCTGTTAGACTGACCATCGAGTTCTTGGTCACCTCCCTGACCAAGGCCCATCTACCCCGATTGCTCAGTTTGGCCGGGAGTCTGGGTGGTTCCAAACTTCTTTCATTTAAGAATGATGGAGGCCACTGTGTTCTTGGGGACCTTCAATGCTGAAGACATTTTTTGCTACCCTTCCCCAGATCTGTGCCTCAACACAATCCTGTCTCGGAGCTCTACGGACAATTCCTTCAACCTCATGGCTTGGTTTTTCTCTGACATGCACTGTCAACTGTGGAACCTTATATAGACAGGTGTGTGCCTTTCCAAATCATGTCCAATCAATTTAATTTACCACAGGTGGACTCCAATCAAGTTGTAAAAACATCTCAAGGATGATCAATGGAAACAGGATGCACCTGAGCTCAATCGAGTCTCATAGCAAAGGGTCTGAATACTTTTGTTTTTTATTTTCAATTAATTTCATAAATTTTAGAATAAGGCTGTAACGTAACAAAATGTGGAAAAAGGGAAGGGGTCTGAATACTTTCCGAATGCTGTATATGCTTCAGTAAGGTTTGCTTCTAAGCATTCATAGCAATGTTATCAACTGTACTGCAGAAATGGTACGTAAATCACAGAAAGTAGATGTTGTGATGGCAGCTGCAGAGAAGTACTTGGGGGTACGAGATTTTACTTCAGAAGAGTTATAGCGTGTGTTGGGTGGTAGTGTCCCCTCCTCTCAGGCCATTGGCCTTGGGTAGGATCAGATAGGGTGAAAGTAGTGGAATAAGGGGATGGGTTTTAATGGGTATAGGGTTAGTTGGTAGGGTAATTAAAATATATGCATCTTTTTATTTTCTTTATTTTTTCTTTTTCCCGGTTCCCCTTTCCGACTTTGTATCACAAAGTGTAATGGATCTATACTATAGTTCAGTTTGGGGCGGTAATGCAACATATTGGATGCCAACCGCCGTTAAACCTCACCGAAGAAGAATTCACAAAAGAAAAGTAAATTCCATTACGGGAAGGGAAAAAATAACATGAATCCACAAAAACTACAGACAATATAATTATCAACAAAAATCTTCCTTCCAGTCAATTGCAGGCTCTGGGGCCCGAGAGGCTGGGACCGCTCGAGACAGTAGGCGTACACCATTTAGCTCTTCAGATGTGAAATCTTTTAATCCCAGATATCGTTCAGCTGAAGAAACAATAATGTAGATCTTTCTTGACTTCTTTTCAACTTGAGAAGTGCCGTTTATCACCATTGTTATAAAAGAGACAAAATCCACCTTCTTTACATTAATCATTTCTGGATCCTGTTGGATTTCAGGCTGCAGTGTAGGCCTACATGTATTCACTACCATGGGAAAGCGCTCATGTCAAATGAGATCTCGTGCTTTGAGTGTGTGCAGTAATGTATATCACCACGTGGGGGTGCAATTGTTCTACAATTGTTCTACAAGTTCAACAGTTGCTCGCACGACCCTGCAGGGTCTGTGCAATCCGGGATCCTTGGGACATCCCTACCCTAAACCCTAACCTTAACCCCTATCCCTACCCTAACCTTAACCCCTATCCTTACCCTAACCTTAACCCCTATCCTTACCCTAACCTTAACCCCTATCCTTACCCTAACCTTAACCCCTATCCTAAACCCTAACCTTAACCGCTATCCTTACCCTAACCTTAACCCCTATCCTTACCCTAACCTTAACCCCTATCCTTACCCTAACCATTTTACATTTTCAACTTCAGTGGGGTAGGAACATCCAAAGGATCTCGGTAGCACTGCCGTTCCTGCGGTGTATTTCATCTGCGCATTTGCTATCTCGAAAAGCGCAGACTCCCTCTTTGGCGTAAGTGAGAGAGAGAACACTAAACCACAGAGAGAGTTTTCAAATGTATATTCTCTTTGGCTAGAGTAGACTAAACATATTGGCTAAACCTCCAACTTCAAGTAACTTTTTTACATCTTTGACAAAATGTTATGTGCTTTTAGGTAAAAAGATATAGGAGGAGTATACAAAATGTAATAATACATGCGTTTATTATGGTCTCTTAGCCCAGGCTTCCAGCCTGTGGCAGAGGCAAGCTCTCTCCATATAGACCCTATTCCTCTTTCTTCCTCTTTGGCATTTATTTAATCTAGCTATTTAGCCCTATTCCCCTTTCCTCTTCCGTGCTTGTAGACTGCAAAGGGAGAGAGGGAGTAGGGCATGGATATTTCTCCATTGAATTATTTGCTTAGTCCCAGTTGCTTCTTTACCCTAAAGTAGCACCAATGGGATCTTGTGGTTGTGTTGTTGTGTTGTTTTGTCAGTTGTGGAGAGAATGATCCTGTATCAATTCCTGAAAGAGAGTATGCCTAACTGGAGCAGCCCTCACAGGGAGTAACCTCTGATCCATTCACTGTCCGATGTAAATGTCATTCATGTCATTGCTTCTTAGTAGATAGACTCTAGCCTATTTACTCAGTGTGTCTTCTGTAAGTCTCTGTGTACACAGTGACGGGTTCTGCATTTATTTTCTGCATGTTCTGATTCTACTTTCATCCTATTCCCCAAGGACCAGCTGAGGAACCTCCACAGACAGAACTTGGAAGTCCATGAAACATCCTCCTGCTGGCATATGACAACAGCTTCCACTGGCACAAGAATAGAGTGTGTGTGTGTGTGTGTACATGCATGTGGTCATGTGTACGTGCATGATTCATATTTAGGCACATTTGTACTATCCTGTTTACATTACATACGTCTCGGCTCAGACATGAGACGTATGTGTCAGGGACTCCAGACAATCATGGATTATAAAGGGAAAACCAGCCACATCGCCGACACCTTGCTCCCAGACAAGCTAAACACCTTCTTCGCCCACTTTGAGGAAAACACAGTGCTACACCCAACGCGGGTAACTGCCGCTCACAAGGACTGTGACCTCTTTTTCTCCGTGGCCGACGTGAGTAAGACATTAAAGCGTGTTAACCCTCATAAGGCTGCCGGCCCAGACGGCATCCCTAGCCGCGTCCTCAGAGCATGTGCAGACCAGCTGGCTGGAGTGTTTACGGACATATTCAATCTCTCCCTATACCAGTCTATTGTCCCCACTTGCTTCAATATGTCCACCATTGTTTCTGTGCCCAGGAAAGCAAAAGTAACTGAACTAAATGCCTATCACCCCGTAGCATTCACTTCTATCATCATGAAGTGCTTTGAGAGGCTAGTTAAGGATCATATCACCTCTACTTTACCCGACATCCTAGACCCACTACAATTTGCATACCGTCCCAACAGATCCACGGATGACGCAATCGCCATCACACTGCACACTGCCTTATCCCATCTGGACAAGAGGAATACCTATGTAAGAATGCTGGTCATTGACTACAGCCTTCAACACCATAGTACCCTCCAAGCTCATCACTAAGCTCGGGGCCCTGGGTCTGAACCCCGCCCTGTGCAGCTGGGTCCTGAAAATCCTGACGGGCCCACCCCAGGTGGTGAAGGTGCGCAACAGCACCTCCACTGATCCTCAACACAGGGGCCCCACAACGGTGGGTGCTCAGCCCCCTCCTGTACTCCCTGTTCACCCAGGAGGCTGAAGAAATTTTGATTGGCCCCTAAGACACTCACAAACTTCTACAGATGCACCATTGAGAGCATACTGACGGGCTGTATCACCACCTGGTACGGCAACTGCACTGTCCGCAACCCCAGGGCTCTCCAGAGGGTGGTGTGGTCAGCCCAATGCATGGTGGTATCACAGGAAGGCCAAGAAGGTTATCAAGGATCTCAGCAACCCAAGCAACTGCCTGTTCACCCCGTTACCATCTAGAAGGTGGAGAAAGTACAGGTACGTCAAAGCTGGGACCGAGAGACAGAAAAACAGCTTCTATATCCAGGCCATCAGACTGTTAAATAGTAACCACTAGCCGGCCTCTGCCCAGTACCCTGCCTTGAACTTTAGTCACTGTTACTAGCCGGCTACCACCGGGTACTCAACCCTGCATCTTACAGACTGCTGCCCTATGTACATAGACATGGAACACTGGTCACTTTAATAATGTTTACATACTGTTTTACCCACTTCTTATGTACAGTACATATTGTATTCTAGTCAAGCCTCATCCTATATAACTACTGCTGTACACACCTTTTCTATTCATATACTGTCCAAAATGTATACTGTATACACACCATCATATACATATATATTTATATTCCGGACTCTGGCATTGCTCGTTCTAATATTATTATTATTATATGTTTCTTAATTCCTTTATTTATGTTTTATTTGCGTGTATTGTTAGGTATTACTGTACTGTTGGAGCTAGGAACATAAGCAATTCAATACACCCCCCAAAAACATCTGCAAAATATGTATACACAACCAATACAATTTGATTTGATTTGATTTAAGCTAATTTTTGTGTACTGTATTTATGCATGTAACATCAAAGACTTAGAAGCATGTTGTGGCTGTGTATATTTGCTCTGGGATGAAAGACACAGTAGTTACAGGAATGGAGGTCTGCTGTAGCAGTTCCTCAGGGGAGAAGCTGATGACAGGACAGGATGGAGAGAGGGAGAAGGAAGAAGAATTGAAGAGGGAGGGACAGAGAGTGACAGAGAAAACAAAGGAGGAAATGAGAGGAAGAAACAAGAAATTAAGAGACAGAGGAGGAGGAGTGACAGAGACCTAGAGAGGGGTAGAAGAGAGAGAAGCAGGAGGAAATGATGAGAGAGAAGTGTTACTGACTGTAATGCTGAGTGACATTTGAAAGCCTCCCCTGAGGAGGGGGGCATACATGCACCTGGTTATGGGGTTTCCTTAAGCACCATGTCAAACAGGCTTCCATAAAACCCACTGTATGTGTGTGTGTGTGTGTGCACTCGTGTGTGTGTAGCTCTGCATGTGTGTGTAGCTGTGTATATGTATATTTGGGGGGGGGTGTAAAGAGAAGGAGAGATGAAGATGGAGAGATTGTGCATGTCACTGTCTCTCCCTCTATATGTGTCTTCATTCCTCTCTATCTCTCTCTCTCTCTCTCTCTCTCTCTCTCTCTCTCCTCTCTCTCTGTGATGATGACCCTTGCACTGTTTTGTAGAATATGAATAGCCTTCAGTAGTGAGATAACACAGTGCAGAATGAACTCTAGAGCTAGAATATGAATAGCCTTCAGTAGTGAGATAACACAGTGCAGAATGAACTCTAGAGCTCTATAATAGAATGTGACACTCACTTATGGGGAGTTAAACATGTATTTTATACTTAAAACATCTTTGAACTCCGTTGTTGATGACTGAGTAAACACCCCCCCCCCCCCCCCCCCCACCCAACACACACACACACACACACACACACACACACACACACAGACAGACAAACAGTTCCCCATAGTTCCTCCACACCCACAGGTTAAGTGTTTCCCAGGAAGAGACTCAGACCAGTTTAATTGCACTGTAATAAGTTGCTGTGGAAATACGTTTCCGCGGAAATAAGAAGTTGTGGCATCGCAATTAACGCTCAAAGGACAGCCATATGCCATATTACTACTACTGGTACTGACAGTAGTGAAAAAGTATGCATCCGTCTGTGTGTTTGTGTGTGTACGTGTTAGTATCTTTGTCTCTCTTAGTCTCACTAATTTTCGGAAATTATGGCGCTTAATTTCTCTGCCGAATAAATGGATTAGAGACAAAATCCAACGAGTGTTTTCTTCTTTTGCCACCATTTCAGAAATCAGGGATTAGTGGCGCATTGGGACTGTGCTGAGCAGGAGAGGCCAGTGTTCCAAAATCCATCAGGGATTTGCCTGCATCTGTTCCCTTCTCTGCTCCGGCCATGTCCATGACTCACCGAGAAAATTCCTGAAAAGCTTTACGACTGTTTGCCTTATCCAGTCACCGCAGAGCTGTCCAACAACACTTAGTGGTGTGTGTGTGTGTGTGTGTGTGTGTGTGTGTGCATGCATGCGTGGCTGTGTCTGTATCTGTACTGGACCAAAAACTCAGTATCAAAGACAGCAGACTTTATAAGCCCAAACTCATTTCTAAATAGACCCAAAACTTTTTTACTTCATGTGCCTATAACTCTTAAATGTGTTTGTGCGCCGAGGCTGCAACCTTGCCTCATCCTCTGACTCAGCAGAAGCTGATTTGGTGTGTCTTAGAGAGAGGAGCATCTGATGTTTTCTGTTATTAACATATGTTTGTTCCTAATATTTTTTCTAGGTGCATGCACCTCTCCATGTGTGTGTGTGTGTGCACCTATCCCTTTTGTTTGAAGCAATAGCAAATCTACTCAGCGGAGAATAGCTAAATATGGACCCCAATCTTAGCAGCCTGTCTTTCTCCCCATCTCTCGCTTCCCTCTCTTCTCTTTTTGTTTCTGAGTGAGGGACCAGTGTGGAGGAGGGAATCAGAGCGGACTTAACTCTATTTCTCCTGTACTGTTGTCAGCAGTTGGCTGCTTGGGGATCAAAGTTGTGTGTGTGTGTGTGTGTGTACGTGCGTGTGTGGTTTGGTGTTTTTTTGTGCTTAAAAAAACCTGAGTGAGTTTAATTAAAGATGAAAGTGCTGATGATTAATTGATGGAAGTCAGACTGTTCCATTTGGTACTGAACCAGGGGTGTCCAGACTTCTCCATATAGTGAAAAATGTGGACAGCTCCAAAAGCTTACACACAAAATGAGATGTATTACCACAGGTAATCACATAAAGTTTTTTGAACAATTGTGTAACAACGTAATGATTACAGAGTTGTGTGTTCTTTTAAACCTTTAAAGACCAAAAACAAGCCTGGTACATATTTGTCATTCTCTTTCAGGACTCTGAACATTCCCATCTATATATTACACAGGGAAATGTGTCCGTCAACTGGAGTGCCCTAAACTGCTCTGTCTGCTAATTTGGGATGACGGTGTGAGTAGTGAGGCTCAAAGGCTCAGATGGAGCTGCTGAGGCAGAAAAACATCAGGAGTTTTTCTTGTAGTGATACAGTAAGTAAACAAACATATTGAGAATTTCAATTCATTTGTGATCTCAAAAGTTTGTTAGGCTGTTATGGTAGGACTAGTCTACTAGCAGGAGATGGTGGAGAAAGGCTGGTTTTTAACTCCACTCATATCCCTCCCCTCGGCCACTCACTCAGTGTGCCTAGTGTGCCATAGAGACATATGAGTCTCTATGCGCAGGCTCCCTCTCCATCACACTGCCTTTCAGTGGGAGATTAGAACAGCGAGAGTGGAGTGCTCAGGGAGATAACGTGCCTGCTCCTAACATCGGTATTGGAACTGTTATCTTCACAGGAAACACATTATGCTGGCGAAGAAAAATAGCTCTCCCTTGCCTGGCCAAGGCAAAGTCTTAATAGAAACAGATTTAGCTAGGCGTTTATAGAGATTTATAGGCTGATATAGAAGTTTAGCAGACTGAGATCCCATTGTTTGGATAGAGACAGTTTGGCCCTGTGGTTGTGAGTAAAGACATAAGTGATCATCAGCTATATTTATTGATGCTCTCAATAATTTCTCCATTAAAACAGTATGAGCCTAAACCCAATTCAAAAACAAGGCAACAGACTGAACCGAAGAGTGAGGGAGGGGCATTGAGATTGGAGGTAAAGAGAAAAAGAGAGAGATAGCGAGATTGACAGACGAACTGTGAAAAAAACAGAGAGTAGGCTACGGGAGTACAGTACAAAGGACATTCAGGCAAAATGTATATGCATTCAAATAAATAGTTGTATCATATATTCCTGCTATTATTTCCATCATTAATGGTTAACTCACTATAGAATTGCATGTAAAGTAAAATAAATCATCATCAGGCAGCACCACGCTGTGATAAGGGGGAGGGGAGGTGGGGCAATGTAAGGGGCAGGTAGTTAAACAGAGTGGGACAGTTGGGCTGAGGGTCTTGCTTGTGCCTTCAAGTGGACTTTCACTCTTCAGAGATGGGAGTGGAGCTGGGGGCATACATGCACCTGGTTATGCCAGGATGGGGGCAGTGGGGGGTTGCCAGGTGTCAGAGGTGAAAGATCACAGTGTGGAGTCGCGGCAGAGGACGATCTCCAACTCGGTGCGGTAGAGCTTCCCCGCGTCGGACAGAGCCATTATGCTCTTCTTGTAGCCCACCAGACCGGTCGAGTCCAACTCCTACAGCAAACAGGGGGGAGAAACAGACGTGAGTGCTAGAGCCTCAACCAATGATGTCATTAACTATGGTGTCTACCCTGTAAACAATAATGAGTCGTTAGGACGTCCCCAGGACTTCACGAAACGGTCGCCTGAAGTCGTCAGGACATTGTGTCATGGTCCCCTGGAGGTTTTGTCTAGTTCCCGGTTGGTCCCGGGGATGTCCCTGAGGACTTTTTTTAGGACTTTCTTGGGATGTTGGGTCATGGTCCCCTGAAGACCCCCTGAACGTTCTTGGGATGTTGTGTCATGGTCCCCTGGAGGTTTTTGTCTAGTTCCCGGTCGCAAAGAAACATTCCCCCCCCCCCCCAAAAAAAAAAAAATCTACCCAGGGCATGCTTACCCTAGTTTCATTACACATCACCCGTTGTTACTGTTGCCAAGCCTATCAAGGCCCTGGTTGGTGAACCACTGATCCAGTCACAGCTGTTTGTATTTTGGCAATGCTAGGGGCACCCAAACACACATAGTGCTTTTAACATACAGTGTTTTCAACTTACATATTTGACACCCTTTGACATAGATGATTACATTGTGTATGTTTATTCATACAGTAATTATTATTTAACATGTCCTCATCTGGGATTTGAACTCACAGCCTCTTGGGTCACAGCATTCCAATCTTCCTGCTACGCCACCATGTCTGTATCAATGACTGATTTCCCCTGTAGCAGGCCTGTTCCTACACTTAGCAATTCAAAGTAAATCTCAGCTCTGTTAAAAATACACTGAAGAAAAACTATTATATTTATCGTAGTGATTCAGGAATAACATTAAAACAGAATAATATTCCCCACCAACATTACTGCAAACCCAAACTCAAATTGCTGAAATATGTAAACGAAATCAATGAGAGAATAGTGAGATTAACTGATAACTACAATAGCAGTGCAGATGGCACTCTTTTGCTAAGTGCAGGGATGTATTATAGGTAATGAATGTGTAGGGGACTTTGTGGCACAGCAGAAAGATCAGCATAACCAAATCTAGAGGTTGTGAGTTCAAATCTCAGGTGGGGTCATATTGAAAAGTCAGTAGTGATCATGTCAAATGTAATAATATTTTCATTGATTAAAGATTTTTACACTATTTTAGCTGAACAGGGTACCACTTACCTTAAAACCCCCATACCATTTAATTACTTTACTTAAAATGGTTTGGGACACCTGGGACCATCCCATGACAAAAACCTCTAGGGGACCATGACACAAAGTCCCAAGATTGTTCAGGGGACCTCCAGGGGACCATGACACAACGTCCCAAGAACGTGCTAAAAACGTCCTTGGGGACATCCTCAGGACAAACGTGGAACTAGACAAAACCTCCAGGGAACCATGACACAATGTCCAAAAAAGGTTCAGGTGACCTTCAGGGGACCATGACACAACGTCCCAAGAACATCCTAAAAACATCCCAGGTCAAACCGGGAACTATAAAAAGGTCCCCCAGAGAATGTTGCCTTGGGACCATCATTCGACGTCCTAAGGACTAGTAAAATGAAAGTCCTGAGAACGTACTAAAAAGGTCCTGACATGGTCCTCAGTGACATCCTGGGAACTTACAGGGAACTAGACAAAGATTCCCCAGAGAACGTTCCATTGGGACCATCACGCAACGTCCTAAGGACTAGTAAAAGGAAAGTCCTGAGAACGTCCTAAAAAGGTCCTGAAATGGTCCTTAGTGGCATCCTGGGAACGTTCAGGGAACTAGATAAAGGTCCCACAGAGAACGTTCCCTTGGGACCATCACGCAACATTCTTAGAACATTCTCAGAACGTCAGTGGGATAACTTTGTGCCGAAAGCTTTAAGGGACCTAATGGGAAAGTCACCAAATATCCTCAGGACGTCCCCTGTTTGCTAGGTGTGGCCCTAACGGTCAATGCAACACCACATCCTGATCCAACAACAACTCAGAAGACAATAACCTGTACAAGACCACAACGTTCTGCCAATCATTCTGATCTTGAAAACACTCCAGGTGCAGTATGAGATAATCAATCAATCAACTAATCAAAAGATGAGTCAGTAAATAAGTGAAGTCTCTTGTTCTTTACCATTTTGTTCTTGTCATGGAGGTCCTTTAGCAGTGCGTCCAGCTCCTGCTCATCGATGTAACCGTTCCCATCCTAGTTAAACAGTGAAAAACAGTGAAACAGCAGAAAGGGGCGGGGCATCTCATATCAAATTCTCATTAAAAGAACAATCAAACACTCAGATATCCTCCCACTCAGAGTATACACAGGTTAGATCAATCATTCACAGACCAACTGCCAATTCAGATCAATACAAAAGCATTAGCATGAGACTCCTGTACTGTACACCTGTCTTTCCTACTGTACTGTTTTCTTTGTGGAAAGTTCAGTGGCGTGTATTCATGGTTACCAAGGGAAGCCAGGCTTCCCCAAAAAGTTGACCAAAAAGTTGTTTTATGAATTTCGTTCAATTCGCAAGAGGCTGAAATGAATGTATCTCACCGGAGAAAGCATCCGAGCGAACCAAACAGCTCCCCTCTGTCTCAGTATGTGTAGTGTATCTATCTGATGCTGTCTGGTCAGAAAGAGTATGACATTGTTGCCGCCGGTAGCATTGAATGCAAGGGAAGCCAGCGAGCATTTGGCCTCCCTTGATAAAACATTTATAAAATAATAGCCAATCATCTTTGAGCTAAACTGAGTGAGCTCATCTGTGAATGATCTTGGCGCACCAAAGAAAAGTGTCAAGGGAAGCCAGTTTGGATTTTGCTTCAGACCAATCACATCCCAAGCCAAACGTCAATAAAAAAACTTGAATTGTTGCATCTCGTTGTGTTCGGCCCTTTCCTAAATTAGGGCTTTGGACTTGTGGTTTTACTTAACAACATGTTTTTTCTACTTGCACACACACACACATAAATCAGTACCATGGTTAGCCACATCATAATTAGCTTATGTTGATTGGACTAAATCGTTTTTGGTATCTTTTAGTTGTCACTGTATTTGACTAAGCATAGATGATTAGATGATGACTTTTTCAAACAAAGTCAACACAGCAGCCATTGCTAGCTAGCCAACACGACCAGCTAGCTGTACTGTAGCAGCTAAATACAATATATTTGTGCTAGCTAGCCAACGTTTAATTATTGCTGCGTTATGAAAGGAACTAGACACGGACACTAATTATCTGTTTAGTGTGTTAACACACTATTGGTAGTTTGTTGTAACCAAGTATTGGTGCTAAACTGTGTGTTATTGGATGCTAGCATGCTAGTTAGCTATAGCGTCATAGTTAGCTAGCTGAATAAAGTAAGTTGAGTCTATTCCTTGAAACATTGAACCGCTGTAGTTCAACAATTCTAATTTCTAAAGTGGAAGTTGGGAGAGTTTTATTCGGTGGTTCAGTGAAACAATTATAGTTTCTGAGGTGAAGTTGGGAGAGTTATATTTGGGAGTTTTGGTTTTTACTCTCTCCTTTCCCAGATGTTTAGTTCATTTCATTCCGATCTCCTCTGCATTATTGTAGCCATTTGCTACAGCCTGTCAACTATGCCTCTGCCTATCCCTGTTCTCTCCTCTCCGCACAGGCTACACAAACGCCTCACACCGTGTGGCTGCTGCCTCTCTAACCTGGTGGTCCCTGCACGCACCCCACACCTGGAGTTCCAGGTCTCAGGCAGCCTCTGGAACTGCCGTTCTGCTGCCAACAAGGCTGACTTCATCCCAGCCTATGCTACCCTCCAGTCCCTCGACTTCCTGGCACTGACGGAAACATGGATTACCACTGAAAACACTGCTACTCCTACTGCTCTCTCCTCGTCTGACCATGTGTTCTCGCATACCCCGAGAGCATCTGGTCAGAGGGGTGGTGGCACAGGAATCCTCATCTCTCCCAAGTGGACATTCTCAATTTTTCCACTAACCCTGTCTATCTCCTCATTTGAAATCCATGCTGTCACAGTCACTAGCCCATTTAAGCTTAATATCCTTGTCATCTATCGCCCTCCAGGTTCCCTTGGAGAGTTCATCAATGAGCTTGACACCTTGATAAGTTCCTTTCCTGAGGATGGCTCACCCCTCACAGTTTTGGTGGATTTCAACCTCCCTACGTCTACATTTGACTCATTTCTCTCTGCCTCCTTCTTTCCACTCCTCTCCTCTTTTGACCTCACCCTCTAACCGTCCCCCCCTACTCACAAGGCAGGCAATACGCTTGACCTCATCTTTACTAGATGCTGCTCTTCTACTAATCTCACTGCAACTCCCCTCCATGTCTCCGACCACTACTTTGTATCCTTTTCTCTCTCTCTGTCCTCCAACACTACTCACTCTGCCCCTACACAGATGGTAATGCGCCGCCGCAACCTTCGCTCTCTCTCTCCCACTACTCTCTCCTCTTCCATCCTATCATCTCTTCCCTCTGCTCAATCCTTCTCCCTCCAATCTCCTGATTCTGCCTCCTCAACCCTCCTCTCCTCCCTTTCTGCATCCTTTGACTCTCTGTGTCCCCCTATCCTCCCGGCCGGCTCGGTCCTCCCCTCCAGCTCCGTGGCTTGATGACTCATTGCGAGCTCACAAAACAGAGCTCCGGGCAGCGGAGCGGAAATGGAAGAAAACTAAACTCCCTGCCGACCTGGCATCTTTTCACTCCCTCCTCTCTACATTTTCTTCATCTGTTTCTGCTGCTAAGGCCACTTTCTACCACTCTAAATTCCAAGCATCTGCCTCTAACCCTAGGAAGCTCTTTGTCACATTCTCCTCCCTGCTGAATCCCCCCCCCCCCCCCTCTCTCTCTGTGGATGACTTCGTCAACCACTTTGAAAAGAAGGTTGACGACATCCGATCCTCGTTTGTTAAGTCTAATGACACTGCTGGTCCTGCTCACACTGCCCTACCCTATGCTTTGACTTCTTTCTCCCCTCTCTCTCCAGATAAAATCTTCTGACTTGTGACTGCAGGCCGCCCAACAACCTGCCCGCTTGACCCCATCCCCTCCTCTCTTCTCCAGACCATCTCCAGTGACCTTCTCCCCTACCTCACCTCGCTGATCAACTCATCCTTGACCGCTGGCTATGTCCCTTCCGTCTTCAAGAGAGCGAGAGTTGCACCCCTTCTCAAAAAACCAACACTCGATCCCACTGATGTCAACAACTACAGACCAGTATCCCTTCTTTCTTTTCTTTCCAAAACTATTGAGCGTGCCGTCTTTAGCCAACTCTCTTGCTATCTCTCTCAGAATGACCTACTTGATCCAAACCAGTCAGGTTTCAGGACTGGTCATTCAACTGAGACTGCTCTTCTCTGTGTCACGGAGGCTCTCTGCACTGCTAAAGCTAACTCTCTCTCCTCTGCTCTTGTCCTTCTAGACCTGTCTGCTGCCTTTGATACTGTGAACCATCAGATCCTCCTCTCCACCCTCTCCGAGCTGGGCATCTCCGGCGCGGCTCACTCCTGGATCGCGTCCTACCTGACCGGTCGCTCCTACCAAGTGGCGTGGCGAGAAGCTGTCTCCGCACCACGTGCTCTCCCCACTGGTGTCCCCCAGGGCTCAGTTCTAGTCCCTCTCCTATTCTCCCTATACACCAAGTCACTTGGCTCTGTCATATCCTCACATGGCCTCTTCTATCATTGCTACGCTGACGATACACAACTAATCTTCTCCTTTCCCCCTTCTGATAACCAGGTGGCGAATCGCATCTCTGCATGTCTGGCAGACATATCAGTATGGATGACGGATCACCACCTCAAGCTGAACCTTGGCAAGACGGAGCTGCTCTTCCTCCCGGGGAAGGACTGCCCGTTCCATGATCTCGCCATCACGGTTGACAACTCCATTGTGTCCTCCTCCCAGAGTGCGAAGAGCCTTGGCGTGACCCTGGACAACACCCTGTCGTTCTCCGCTAACATCAAGGCGGTGACCCGATCCTGCAGGTTCATGCTCTACAACATTCGGAGAGTACGACCCTGCCTTACACAGGAAGCGGCACAGGTCCTAATCCAGGCACTTGTCATCTCCCGTCTGGATTACTGCAACTCGCTGTTGGCTGGGCTCCCTGCCTGTGCCATTAAACCCCTACAACTCATCCAGAATGCCGCAGCCCATCTGGTGTTCAACCTTCCCAAGTTCTCTCACGTCACCCCTCTCCTCCGCACACTCCACTGGCTTCCAGTTGAAGCTCGCATCTGTTACAAGACCATGGTGCTTGCCTATGGAGCTGTGAGGGGATCGGCACCTCTGTACCTTCAGGCTCTGATCAGTCCCTACATCCAAACGAGGGCATTGCGTTCCTCCACCTCTGGCCTGCTGGCTCCCCTTCCTCTGCGGAAGCATAGTTCCCGCTCAGCCCAGTCAACACTGTTCGCTGCTCTGGCACCCCAATGGTGGAACAAGCTCCCTCACGACGCCAGGACAGCGGAGTCACTCACCACCTTCCGGAGACATTTGAAACCCCACCTCTTTAAGGAATACCTGGGATAGGATAAAGTAATCCTTCTACCCCCCCCCCCCCCCCCCCCCCCTAAAAAAAAAAGATATTGTAAAGTGGTTATCCCACTGGCTATAGGGTGAATGCACCTATTTGTAAGTCGCTCTGGATAAGAGCGTCTGCTAAATGACGTAAATGTAAATGTAAAAATGATGTTGAAATGTTGAAGTTGAAATGGTGTCGGAATAGTGGAGGCAGTTTCTGTTTTCTTTGTGACTTGCAGTAACTCTCTGTGGTTCTAAATCTATAGTTGTTTAGTAGTCTGAAAATGTCGGAAACATTACCTTGCTCGACCATGCTGCAGGTCATGTAACTGTTACATGCAATAGGTTTCTGGACTTCACTGGACAGATGTTGCTCTCAGATTTTGTGACAAAAACAATGGTGTGGTTGAATTTATTCTGCCACTGTTTCTTCTTATTGTCTCGGCCTTAGGCCTATATATCACAGTGTCAAGGCATATGAACTAGCAGGTTATAGAGCAAACAGCGCAATTATCACAAAACATAAGTTGTAATATGGCTTTTTTTTCTGGATTGGCTTCCCCAGTGATTTTACCCAAGCACCGCTACTGGGAAGGTTACCAAGGTAACACTAACAAAATAATTGATACAGACGCAGGTGTATCTTTGGAGTATTTACTTGTGCAAGTGAGCATTTGCATGGAGCTAGTAGCTTGTGTGACAGGGAAACAAGCAATCTCTCTCACACACCCTCCCTGCAAATATGTGTACTGTGCTCATTTACCTTGTCATAGAAGGTGAAGATTACATTGAACTGCTCTGCTGAAAGCTTGCATCCCTGGAGAGATGGGAAAGACAGGGAAGGGAAAGTATAATAAAAATATAATACATACTGTACATGATATATATATATATATATATATATATATATATATATACACTGAGTATACCAAACATTAGGAACACCTTCCTAATATTGAGTTGCAGCACCATGGGAATGCCTGCATCTGTTCCTCACAAACTGGAGTCTAACTGGTTTCATTAACGAGCCTGCAGGACTGACAGACAGGTGTGTGTGTGTGTGTGTGTGTGTATGTGTGTGTGTGAACGTGCGTGCTTGAGTGCGTGTGAAAGAGTGTTGCAATGACTTTTAAGGGTGTCGATAGTCTAGCCAGGTGCAGACTCAGTAAACGTCTCCCATGATAAACAGTATTATCCTCTTAAAGTGAATGCAATAAAGCTGAATTGTACCATCGGTTGGATCTGCCGACATACACATTGTATGACCTTTACCTTAGGGTTATAGTCAAGACTGCTTTAATTCACATAGTGAACGACTCTTTCGCAAATGAATACGTTGCCCCAATTCCTAAAGGAATTTGTGTGTGGGGTGGGGAGGGTGTGTGGGTGTGGTCTCACCTCGAACTTGAGCAAGAAATTTTCCTGAACCGGCAGCAGCCTTAAATGAGATAAAATAAAATCGTTCACATTCAGATTCTTTACTTCAAAATGGATTCAAGTGTAACACAGAGAGTCTCTCAGTGAACAAGACACACACTCACCTGGCCATTTCAGACAGGCCCAGTTTCCCATCACCGTTCAGATCAAACATCCTCAGCTGGAGAGAGCGATACAACAGTGAGTGGCATAATGTTACTACACTGTGTTAAACCTGTGTGTTTGTGTAAACGTGTACAGTACGTGTGTCACACTCACGATTGTCTGTGTGTACTCGTTGAGCTTCTTGTCATCGTAGTGTCTGTTGGCCTTCTTCAGAAGATCTGACAGGAAACCCTGAGGAAGACAGATCCTCGTTACCCCACTGGTACTGGCTCAATTAGCAACAATGACCCAAAAATGAGAGTTTAATGATGAGTGCTCAGGGGTCCTCCTCTGACAACAACCACAAGTCCTTGGAAACTGACTAATGAAGGTTATGAATGTTTAAAAGTTTGGCACATTTGTTTACCTTCAGTTCATTGGCTTCGATGTATCCACTGCGATCAGTGTCATACCTTCGCCAAGCCTGTAGACAGAACATTTTTAACATTTCATCACAACACAGCACACACGCATTTAAACACAGTTTCGCCACTGTCTTTCTTTCACAAGCTCTCCATTTTCCAAACGACTCTACCCAACAGAGATAAAGAACTCTAAAACCTTAAAACCCTCTTTACTTTAACAACAAGCGGAAAGTTATAATGCTATAATCGGTAGAGAGAATGTAGCCAGACGGAGATAGAAGAGGATGAGAGTGAGAAAAGTATATCATTTGTGTTTTAATCTACCAGCTGTCCCGTGTCTAGAGCGGAGCCTTATCAAAGATGGATGCCAAAAACCACATCATCCCCCCCACAGTCTCCTGCAGTAAGGCTGCAACCCATCCATAATGAATGGCAGTCTGAGAATAGCTCCTGTGTTCCCCTCCTCCCCCCTCCACTTTTAACATGGGGTAGCCAGCACACCGGACCACTGCAAAACTCCCTCCTTCTATCTATCCTCCCTTCTCCTTACTTTGTGTGTCTTCACCAGCAGAAAACAGTTAAAAAGAGCCCCCCTCCCTCTCTCTCTTTCTCTCTCTAGTTATTTCTAGATATAAAACGCTTTAGACAAGGAGATACCTGTTTCCCTGATATTTCTAAGCTCTCTTGGGATTGATTCTGTGTGTGTGGGTGGATGTGTTTTTGTCTTGGTTTTTGTGTATGGGACGAAGTGATCAGACTTAGCAATAAACCAAAAAGTTATCCTTATCGGAGAGCAATGATCGCAGGAGTCATCTTTAGTGATCGATATACTGTACAGTGCAGTGGGCTTATACACACACACACACACACATACAGACACAACTTACCGCCATGAATTCTGCACTGGATCCCACAAATGTTCTGAAACAAAGCAGGAAATTCTCCTCTGTGGGCAGAATCTGAGCTAACTGGAGAGAAAGAGGGAGAGAGAGAGAAAATATATAGAGAGAGGATTAGTACACTTGGCTTCTAACTCAATATTAAAGTGTATTTCAACAACAACACTGTGTACAGAACAAAAAACATATAGTATATGCAGATATAGCATCAGAGGAAAACATCAAAAGTAACCAGACATTTCAATAGAGGAGTTTGAATGTGCTTGTGTACAGTATGAGTCGTACTTCTGACATCTCGATTCTTCCGTCTGCATTCTTGTCGAATTTAGCCATGAACTCCTTCATCTTTTCTCTAAACGCAGCATGTGTGGGATCCTGGAATAGACACACACACAGAATAAATCAAAAACTGATAAAACAGAGAATTCCTACCTAACAATTCCCTATGATAATATGTTGTTATAGACTTTCATTCTCCAGTCTATCAGCCTATCTAGAAGCCTGAATACACTGTGGATGATGATAGTCAAGTAAAGTGGACCATTTGCTCATTTAAATACAATGTTTAATGTTGCCTCGACTAAGATGGAGTCAGTCACTCACTTTAAGGCAGGAAGGAATTATGTATTTTCGAAGTATTCAAACCCACTCACCACGCCCGCTCCTCTCCGCGCGGTCTCTAGCTCCCGGAAGAAGTTCTCCAGCTCCTTTCCCTCGATGTAGCCATTTCCTGTAGAACATACCCAAGGGTTAAAGGTCATTCCTGGGATCAGTGAGATGGGGATTACATTGACCTTTGAACCTGTGGAAACCATAATGGAATCCTCTTAGTTATATGGCTCTTTCTCAATTCATCTTTCCTTGATTCCTTGCATTCTCTCTCCTCACCTCCTTCGCAAATCCCATTGGAGTAGAAAGTCAGGGGAAGGGGGTGAGGGGATAAGATACACGGTATCACCAAATGTGAATTGAGATAGAACCCTGGTATGTAGTGTGTTTCATTACTGTAAAAAAAAAACTGGGTTCAATATGGCTGCGTTTATTTAAGCCCTTCGCTCGACAAGGAGCTCAAAGAAAGTCCAGAACAACGAGTCCACAAGGAGTCCAGAGAGTCAAGTGTTGTATTGCACCACCATGACTGTTTGCATACTCTAAATTCTATGGAAACATGTTCACAAAAACACTCTCATTATCTACCCTAATGCTACAGTCACACGATATTGTCCATCTGGCCAACACGACTCCCACAGGAGTACAGTAGCATAACATTGAGTCACATATGTATATCCAACACACACACACTGCTGAGCTCCCTGGTCCTTACTAGGATTAGTCTGATATCCCAGCAAAACCATCAGGCCCAGTATCTGATGGGGGGATGAGATAGAGGGAGGAGGAGAGAAAGGGAGGGTAGGTCGGAGGGAGGGATTTGAAAGGGCTTAATGTGACTTATTGTGTCACAGCACCATAGGAATAAAATGATAGCTGACCCCACAGGGAGGAAAATCATGGAGAAGGGAAGGAGATAACTTGATAAGTGTGTGTGTGTGTTGTGTGTGTGTGTGTGTGTGTGTGTGTGTGTGTGTGCGTGTGTGCGTGTGTGTGCGTGCGCGGTATGGGCAACCCACAGGCTGTAGATATTTAAGGCTGATTGAGAATATAACAAACTCCTAATTGTCTTTGCTGATCTTTGCTCCCCCATTGGTCTGTGCTCTGTGAGCTCCCCCATCGATCTGTGCTCTGTGAGCTCCCCCATCGGGGAGATGAGAGAAACTGCATTGACGTATAACAGTGTTTATGAACTCCAGTCCTCGAGTACCCCCAACAGTACATATTTTTGTTGTGGCCCCGGACAAGCACACCTGATTCTACTTGTCAACTAATCATCAAGCCCTTGACCAGTTGAATCAGTTGTTTTTGTCCGGGGCTACAACCAAAATATGTGCTGTTGGAGGACTGGAGTTGGAAAACACTGACCTATAAGACAAACGCCTGCCCTATTGCATTGGGGGCTCTGCATTAGTCACATGATCGAAGCACTGCCCGAATCTGGAGTCCTCAGGCGGATCAGGATGGCATTTACGAATGGGAAGTGTGGAAATTCTCTGGTAATGCTGCCGGAGAATGATATTTAAAAACATGAATCGCCTGCAGCTCAGAGAGCATTAGCAACATAATCACAGTGGAATGGCTTTGTGCCTGGGGGGTTGACAGTGGGGGGTCAGGTAGATGCTTATTGGGGCATTAGATCTTCTGTAGCGACATTCACAAACATGACAGGCATGGGACTGGCTACGCATGATGTACAGCAAGTTTGCTGAGGACACCACAGTTGTAGGCCTGATAACCAACAATGACGAGTCTACCTATAGGGAAGAGGTAAGTGAACAACCTCTCCCTCAACGTCAGCAAAACAAAGGAGATGACTGTTGACTTCAGGAAGCAGAGGAGGGAACATGCCCCGATCCACATCAATGGGACTGTATTACAGAGAGTCACGAGTTTTAAATTCCTCGGCGTCCACATCACTGAGTACTCATCATGGAACAACAACACCACCACTCTTGTCAAGAGGGCGCAACAGCATCGCTACTTCCTAAGGCGGCTGAAGAAATTCGGCATGCCGCCCCGGGTCCTCTCCAAATACTACCGCTGTACCATCGAGAGCTTCCTGACCGGTTGCATCACGGCCTGGTTTGAGAATTGCTCCGTCCACGACAGCAAGGCCCTCCAGCAGGTGGTGAAGACGGCCCAGTACAATCACTGGGACCATGCATCCACCCATCCAAATCAAATCAAATCAAATTTTATTGGCCACATGCGCCGAATACAACAGGTGCAGACATTACAGTGAAATGCTTACTTCCAGGACATCTACTTGAAACGGTGCCTGAGGAAGGCACACAGCATCATCATGGACCCCACACAACCCAGCCACGAGCTGTTCTCTCCCTTATCGTCGGGCAGACGGTATCAAAACATGAGGTCTAATACCAACAGGCTCACTTTATGTTCTTATTCTTATTGTTGTTGCATTGTTGAGAAGGAACCTGCAAGTAAGCATTTCATTGGACCATGTGTATCCCGTGTGACTAATACAACTTTAAACTTCATTTGCGTGTTGTGTTTGATAGGTAAATCACCATCTCTGCATTGGCTCGCTGGTGTTTGAGATGCAAGCAAATCACTGCAGAAACACAAAGCTTTGTGTATGTAAACAAATCAGCCCATCAGATGGAGGGACTGAGGGCTGTCTCCTCTCTATATCAACATGTCATCACTCCACTGAAGCACAACTAAACATATTCCTGTACTGTGTGGGAGGGAAGTGGGGGAGTGGGCTGGTTAAATGTGTAAAGAAGTTTCCCCAAAGACATGGATATTATGCTAGATATGTGCAGACCATCACAGATAATCCTAATTGCTCTTCCCAATGTGAGGATTTAGTGGGAATTATGCCCATGTCCTTACACAGGGCCGGCCTTGGGCTTAAGTGACATAGGTGGTCATCTATTTCCTCGTGCTAGGGGGCTCCCGACCCAAAAAGTAACTCAGTCTTACTGTTGAGAGTTAGAATAGTAGAATACACAAAGTGCAATTTCGAAATTTGGTTGTGCATCAGCAGTTTTCCTCTTGCTATGTCAGTCACTGACAGTCACTCAATTAATCTATGACAGCTAACATTAGATTGGTAAATTAGTCTACCCAGCTATCTAAACGTGTAGTAATCATGGCCGAATTACCGAAAGGGAACAAGGGGGCCCCATTGATTTTGTTAGCTACTCACACTCACGAGTAGAATTGCATGAAATTAGTTAGACATTTGCAAAAGTTTCTTTTTCGCCCCATGGCAAAATGTTCAATTGCAGAAAACTTGCTTTAAAACTGCAACATTTTCTCTATGCCCCATGGCAAAATGTGTAGAATTGCAGGAAATTAACTTCAAAAAGCGAGGTGATGGGCCTCCCAACAAAATCTTGCCTAGGGCCCCCAAAAGGCTAGGCCCTGTTCATACATTTTCCAGTTATATTAGACATAGATCTTGTTTCCTTGCATGAAATATTATCTGGTGTGAAGAGTGGAATAATGCATGCGTTTCCCAAATACAGTGGCTTGCGAAAGTATTCACCCCCCTTGGCATTTTTCCTATTTTGTTGCCTTACAACCTGGAATTAAAATTGATTTTTTGGGGGTTTGTATCATTTGATTTACACAACATGCCTACCACTTTGAAGATGAAAAATATGTTTTCTTGTGAAACAAACATGAAATAAGACCACAGATTCTCAATTGGATTGAGGTCTGGGCTTTGACTAGGCCATTCCAAGACATTTAAATGTTTCCCCTTAAACCACTCGAGTGTTGCTTTAGCAGTATGCTTAGGGTCATTGTCCTGCTGGAAGGTAAACCTCCATCCCAGTCTCAAATCTCTGGAAGACTGAAACAGGTTTCCCTCAAGAATTTCCCTGTATTTAGCGCCATCCATCATTCCTTCAATTCTGACCAGTTTCCCAGTCCCTGCCGATGAAAAACATCCCCACAGCATGATGCTGCCACCACCATGCTTCACTGTGAGGATGGTGTTCTCGGGGTGATGAGAGGTGTTGGGTTTGCGCCAGACATAGCGTTTTCCTTGATGGCCAAAAAGCGCAATATTAGTCTTATCTGACCAGAGTACCTTCTTCCATATGTTTGGGGAGTCTCCCACATGCCTTTTGGCGAACACCAAACGTGTTTGCTTATTTTTTTCTTTAAGCAATGGCTTTTTTCTGGCCACTCTTCCGTAAAGCCCAGCTCTGTGGAGTGTACGGCTTAAAGTGGTACAGACAGACCACCTCTGCCTCCCACAGATGGATCACTGGCCGCACGCGACATCCCTGAAAAGCCTTAAATGCATTCATTTATTGACAGCGCACGGTGAGACCTATTTTTACATTCCACAAACTATACTTTTTTGGTGGGATTAACACTCTGCTATTTCATGTATTAACAAAGAACAATCTCTCATGTATTAATAAACAGCTCCCCAAAACAGACAGAGAGAAAGAGAGTGTGTGTGTGTGTGTGTGTGTGTGTGTGTGTGTGTGTGTGTGTGTGTGTGTGTGTGTGTGTGTGTGTGTGTGTGTGTAATTGGACTCATTCCTCATCCCTCTACTACTTCTAGGTCCATTCCAGCCCAGTGCACGCCAGGGACTTCAATTTTTTTGTGCCAATTATATTACTGGACTGGTAGCCAGCTATAACTCTCACCAGCGCGTGTATGCATGGCCGTAGAGGCCAGGGTTTAACGCATATGGCCGTTAGTAGACCCGGTGGGGGGATTTAACCTTGGCTGGGGCAGTGGAGTGCTTAAACGTTCGGAGAATCCCTGCGCTTGCTCAGGTGTGACTGTTTACACGCTCTAGGTGACAGGCTGCAGAGCTAAGAGTGAGCGCTATGGGGCGGAAACATGTCAAGCCTGCGCAATGTCACATACTTTTTTTACACATCTTTACACACTTCAACAGGCGCGTGTTTAGTAGAGCCCTTGGTAAGCTTTTTGCTGCCAAGCATAACGTCTCCAACGGCCCTGAGGGACCACCATGGGATGGGGGGAGAAGGATTCAATATGCTTTGCGCAGTGCAAAAATGTATACATGGATGGATGGATTAAAGAAAGAAAACGCAGTGCTATACCAAGCAATATATTTCGCTCTCATCCTTCTACCCCCAATGACTGTAAAGGCTATATGGCTATTCCCCATATTCATTCCGTCGCTCTCCTTTTCCCCATCACTACTACTCCCTCCTCTCTCCTCTCCCCCCACTTCCACTTTTCCCTGCTATTTGTCCTCTCTCCCCATCTTCTTCACACACTGCTCCCCCTTCTCCTATTCCCCTTTTCCCCTCTACTCTCTCTCCATCTCCACTCCTCCCCATTCCCCGACCGGACACGGCAAGCTGCCTGTCAATACACTAGCGCCTGGCAGAAGCCCCGCTGATGACATAGGCTACTGTAGATTCATTCATAGGAGACGGGCGGATCCGGTTGCCTCGTTGGGGGTCGCTACAAGCCAGGCACATATATAATTCACAGCGATCAAACCACTCTATATAATAAATAATCTAGAAAGAACGCATGTTTAATCTCAAAGAATGTAGTGCTGTATTACACTTTCATGTTTTACGCACAGAAAATAGTGCCACAAATGTGGTCCAAAGCAGCGCTCTTCTATTCTATACCTTGGCGCGGTTCTTACTGGTGCGTAATTGAGGAACTAAAATAAAATAATGATTAAAAAGCATGTTTATATGGGATTATATGTAGCCTACGTGTCGACTGAAATCTCATCTAATGTTCTTGTGGGAAAAATGCACTAACTGAACTATTTGAAAATGCTTTTCCACTTTGCTACTTCAAAATATACAACTTCAATATGCTAATTGTTTAATTAAAGTTCATAAACAAGTGTAAAGTTAAAATCTTTCCAGAAGTGCATGATCAAGGAACAGGGCACAGGGCACTCTCTGACTGACAATCACAGCCAAGATTCCCAAGACGCAGTCCAAATAACAACCCCAGATGCTCCTCTGTCCCGCAGTACAACACCCAGGACTTTCTGCCCTCATCTATCACATCTGCTCACTTGCTCTGTCCCACCAAGCACTAGGCAATCAATTTAACAACTATTCAACCATTCTGAATTTACAAAGAGCCTACTCCTGTGATATGCCCATAGTCCAGTCCTGCCCAAATTTAACCCCCTGGCCTCAGTACTGACCGTCTGCGTCGAAATGTTTCCAGATGTCGAGAAACTGCGCCGCGGTGAGCTCTGCCAGGTGGAGATGAGGGGGCTGCTGTGCTTGAGTCGCCATCGTTCAGTCGCTGCTGCTTTTTTCCCTTTCCTTCTGGAGCGCGTGGAAATCCCGAGTTAACTTTGTCCCAGTCGTATCTAAGAGCCTCTCTAAACTGTCAGCCGCTCGCTTTCAGCCGGGGCTTTTAAAACCCCCCGCGGCGCATGCACTTCTCACGCCGACAGAACGGGGGCGCAGCGGCCCTGAGCCTGCATGAACTCTGAGCCAAGGAGTGTGAGAGCCTGCAGGAGAAGTACGGGTCTCAGTCACTCATCTCAGAGGGATGAGAGATGCTCAATGGCACTGTTCATGCAGGCTCCTCGCTCTGGAGGCAGGACAACACGGGCAGTTCTCTGTGTTGATTGGGAATTATGGAAATAGAATCATATAGAGAAAGGCTCCATATACTTGCTCTCATGAGCCGAAAGTGACATCAAAGCATTCCATCACATAGTCTGTTCCATCAAACAGGCCAACACCTCAGGAAGACAGGAGGAATCAACTAGGTGTGCGTGTGTGTGCGTGTATGTGCCAGTGCACATGCTCCTGTAACGAGTATGTTGGATATCAGAGTCACTCCAGCGTCTATCTCTCTGCTCTACCATATGCCTCACCATTGATCTTACTGTAGGTGTCAGGTATCACTTTGAACAAGAGACTGAACTATACCCTCTCTCACGCTCCTAATTGACTCCCGTCTTCTCCCCCCACCCATCCATGCACCCCTCTCTCACTGCCTCATCTCCCTCACAGTAAGCCCAGCTCTTCTATAGGTTCTGTTTAGATGTACCTTTCTCCTCAGTCTCCTTGGCCATTCGACCCCATAGCTGGCACAAATCCTATCACCCAGTAGGACCACTATATTGTACTGCCACTAAAGTATGATAAAGCGTCTTTAGGCTCTGGTATGGGAGATATCCCACTCTTCCTTTATCTCTTTTCTTCTCACTTTTCTCCCATTCTTTCTATTTGGGGCTCCAGCAGCTTTGATAAAGACCAGAAGGCATGTGTGTGTGTGTGTGTGTGTGAGAGAGAGAGAGAGAGAGAGAGAGAGAGGAGAGAGAGAGAGCGAGCTATAGAGAGAAGCGATGAGTCGAGTGAGTGCTCCTATCGACTTTCTACGCTCTCTCGCTCGCGCTCTCTGCGCTTCGTGTCATACTCGTCTCTTCCTCCTCCCCGCTGCTCTGTCTTATTGAATGCCTACGGAGCTGATCGTCGTTGACTCTTCTCTCGTCTCGCGTCTGCTGCGCCGTCGATCCTCTCGTACGGTCTTTTCCGCCTCTGCCGTCTGCTGACGCTTCTCGTCGCGCCTTTGACCATTCAATGGGAAGGAGCAGCGAATGTGATAGAGAAAATCATTTTATCTCCACCTAGCAGTGTTGTGTGTTGATTAGAGAGAAATTAAGTGAGCGATGGGGGTGGGGAATGAGTGTGTGTGTGTGTGTGTGTGCATGTACGTGTGTGTGTGTTGTTTAGACGATGGGTAGCAGTGTTTCCCTGGTGTTAAAAAAGTCAAGTAGGCGATGAGGGGTAGGAAGAGAATGAGTGTGTGGTGTGTGTGTGTGTGCTGTGTGGTGTGTGTATGTTAGAACCGTGGGGTACATCTTACTGTTGAAAAATAATTCAGACCAGGAGTTTATTGAGAGTGGGATCAGAACAGAGTTGAGAGGGGGTAGAGGGTGGAGGAGGTATGGAGAGGAGGGAGAGGAGGAGAGAGAGGTAGGGAGAGGAGAGAGAGAGGGAGGAGAGGAGAGAGAGAGGGGGGGAGGGGAGCGATAGAGAGATTGGAAGATAGAGTAGGGTGTAGTAGAGTAACCACTGATCAGCTCTCACATGAATATGTCCATTAAATCCTTGCGCAAGGCTTACCTGAACACAAAAATGTCCCCATACACGCATGCATGCACGCACCCAGAAAGGCCATTACATTTAAAAGAGGACATCTGCTGATTAGAAGGTGAGGGTATTATTTTAGCATGCCACTCGCACTGCACACCCCATGGATCATTTGAAAGTACTTGTTCAATCTGGGTAATGTCATTAAAAAAAATACTTAATCTGTATATTTAGCATTTAAATGTAAACTAGAGTGAGGATGAAATGGCTAGAATGTGATATATATTAATAAAATATAATGTGCACATTTTAACACAATAGGGGACATGGGGGGAGGGAGGGGGCATAAAGGAAGTGGGCAGGTGTTTAAGAGGCTTTTCAGACCTTTTTTATTTAATTTCTAAAATGGATTTAAAAAACAACTCCATAGCTGGGGTAGAGCTATGTGGGATGAGAGTATGCATGACGTGTGTGTGTGTGTGTTTCCATTAGGCATTTGTGTGTTCAGGGAGTTCATCCTAAACCAAGAGGGTCATTTTGCTTACTGTAGACCCCAGTCATCCCCTCTATGCAACTGCAATACTCTCCTTTTCTCCCTTCATCATTTCTCTCTAGTCCCTCTCTCCATTTAGTTATTGATCCATGTTATTGATGATTATTTTATTAGTTTCACCACAACATCTCCTGCTTGGATCAATGAGACTTACTCTAACATCTCCCCATTCCCGCTCTTCCTCTCTTCCCTCTCTTTCGATGTAGCATGATCAGAGAAGCAATATTGGTTTAACTTGCCAAAGCATTTGATTAATAGATTGATGAATGTAAAGGCAGTTGAACATAGAGGCAGACACGCATGATCGGAATGGTGCCTTTTATTTCACAAGAGTGTTTCAGAAGAGATGCAGGGCTATAAGCAAGCCAACAACAGCAAGTAAGCTGGAAAGAGACAAACTGTATGTTCCTAGAATAATACAAACTTTTATTAAAAAAAAATCAATAGATTAAAACTGTCCATACTGTCAGCACTATAACAGATATTAGAATATATTCATTTATTTTTACAAAGATAGTTACAAAAATGACTTTGGACTGAATGGAATATCAGTGTTAGCTTTTTCAAGAAAATAAGATGTTACTTAAGTAAGAATAATCAGTTGTGGACAACAACAAGGTGGAGTTGAGATTTCCTAGTCCTCTCTCTCGCAGGCACATATGAATAACTCAGTCACACAATCTGCACATACCAACATGCCTCTCTGGAGAAGTAAACCCTGAGTTTCTCACATAGAGTGATGTGTGTAAAGTAGTGCTGTAAACATCTAAACTCACAAATACTGATTCCAATACAGTGTGTGGAATCAGATACACTCGTACCTCTGATTCAAGCTGCCCTTAGTTTTTATTGAACATCACTATCAGATAGTGTGTGTCTCTATATTCGGGCCAGGAGGTTGATGATGAGTTTCTGCAGGTCCTGTGTGCGTCGCTGGGTGATTTCCAGCACCTCCTCATGGTTGACGCGGTCCTGGCTGCCATACTCTGATGAGAGACAGGCCGAACACACGCAGACCACTGTGACGAGCCACTATCACTTCTGGCACTGTACTCATACCTGAGTGAGAGGGAGCGAGAGACAGGGAGCAAGACAGAGATAAAAGGGAGAGGTCAGAGGGAGGCAGAGGGAGAGAGAGAAAGTGATACAGGAGGGTGTGGGTGTGTGACAACAGGGGATAAAGAGGGGAAAGGAAAGATAGGGGGAGGGGTAGACCTAGAAAATGAGTAATGTCAAAGGATCAAATGTACAGCTTCCTCCCTGTCAACCTGTTACCCTCTAACGGACACCACTCAGGGTTCAGATCAATTGAACTGTGACCCCTGAAGCTGACCCCATTGGCATAGATATCCCACTGGGCACAGACGTCAATTCAACATCTATTCCACGTTGGAAAACAACCTTGATTCAACCAGTGTGTGCCCAGTGGGATGGCACCTGATGTTGTGTGTTTGAGAGAGAGGAGCACCTGAGGTTTTCTGTTATTAACATCTGCTTGTTTGTTCCTAATTTTGTTTCTAGCTGCATGCACCTCTCCCCGTGTGTGTGTGTATGTGTGCGTCTGTGTTTTATTGATGGTGTCATTGGTTAGATAGTATTACAAATTCCCTGTCAGTGACTGGTATTAGCACCTCACAACCCAGAGCTGCACAATCCACTCCCCATCCCCCACGACCGGAGCCTGAGAGTATAGGGGGCACCATAAACCTGCCTCTCAAACTCTCCCTGACGTGTGAGATGTGCCCTGATAGGTTGCTAGGGAGGTTAGTAGGGGGCCGGACATCTGCCCATCCTCTTGACTATACAGGTCACACAATACTGTGAGTCTCCCTCAAAAGTGACAGACATCTCTGTCTCTGCCCATCAACAATTGGACTCAATAATATCTCTGAACTTGTGGGATGGTGTGCGTGCCCAAAATCCACTACCATTCCGCTACCTCTCCCACATTTCATCCCAATGTACATTCCCATGTGCATCCCCATATTTATCTTCCTCAGTGTGTTTAAATAAAGTTTGTGTGTGTTAATTCTTGGGATGCTTTATTCCCCTCTAACCGGGGGGCGGTTAGTGAGTCACAAACCATTAAAATACGTAGAGCCAGGTCGCTCTCTTTCAGATAGAGTGTTCTTGGGGAGAGCCTTCTCCATTTCCTCAGTCAGAAGACAGTATACACATCCAAGGCCTGATGTGCTCCCTCAAGGGACAAGTTGCCCTTTGGCACAGATCTGAAACCTGACCATAAATCAGTGTCTTGTACTCACCCACAGCGTCTGCCCCCAGACTCAGCAGTATCTTGCTCTCTGCCACTGTCTCGAAGGCGGGGCCGCCCACATTGCAGTACACCCCCTGTTGGAGGAAAGAGGAACAGCCCTGCTCCTCCGCTACCTCTCGAGCCAAACGGCCCAGGTCTGCATCATACGCATCCGACATGCAGGGGAACCGCACACCAAACCTACACACACGCACACACACAGAACAGTAGAGTTAACACACACACTGAACCCTCTCAAACATACACCCCAAAACCTCACATGCCAAAGTGTACTTTTTTAGTCGGAAGTTTACATACACTTAGGTTGGAGTCATTAAAACTAGTTTTTCAACCACTCCACAAATTTCTTTTTAACAAACTATAGTTTTGGCAAGTCGGTTAGGACATCTACTTTGTGCATGACACAAGTAATTTTTCCAACAATTGTTTACAGACAGATTATTTCACTTATAATTCACTGTATCACAATTCCAGTGGGTCAGAGGTTTACATACACTAAGTTGACTGTGCCTTTAAACAGTTTGGAAAATTCCAGAAATGATGTCATGGCTTTAGAAGCTTCTGATAGGCTAATTGACATCATTTGAGTCAATTGGAGGTGTACCTGTGGATGTATTTCAAGGCCTACAGTCAAACTCAGTGCCTCTTTGCTTGATATCATGGGAAAATCAAAAGAAATCAGCCAAGACCTCAGAAAAAAATGTGTAGACCTCCACAAGTCTGGTTCATCCTTGGGAGCAATTTCCAAACGCCTGAAAGTACCACGTTCATCTGTACAAACAATAGTACGCAAGTATAAACACTATGGGACCACGCAGCTGTCATTCCGCTCAGGAAGGAGACGCGTTCTGTTTCCTAGAGATTAACGTACTTTGGTGCGAAAAGTGCAAATCAATCCCAGAACAACAGCAAAGGACCTTGTGAAGATGCTGGAGGAAACAGGTACAAAAGTATCTATATCCACAGTAAAATGAGTCCTATATTGACATAACCTGAAAGGCCGCTCAGCAAGGAAGAAGCCACTGCTCCAAAACCGCAATAAAAAAGCCAGACTATGGTTTGCAACTGCACATGGGAACAAAGATCGTACATTTTGGAGAAATGTCATCTGGTCTGATGTAACAAAAATAGAACTGTTTGGCCATAATGACCATCGTTATGTTTGGAGGAAAAAGGGGGACTTGCAAGTCGAAGAACACCATCCCAACTGTGAAGCACGGGGGTGGCAGCATCATGCTGTGGGGGTGCTTTGCTGCAGGAGGGACTGGTGCACTTCACAAAATAGATGGCATCATGAGGAAGGAAAATTATGTGGATATATTGAAGCAACATCTCAAGACATCAGTCAGGAAGTTAAAGCTTGGTCGCAAATGGGTCTTCCAAATGGACAATGACCCCAAGCATACTTACAAAGTTGTGGCAAAATGGCTTAAGGACAACAAAGTCAAGGTATTGGAATGGCCATCACAAAGCCCTGACCTCAATCCTATAGAAAATGTGTGGGCAGAACTGAAAAAGCATGTGCGAGCAAGGAGGCCTACAAACCTGACTCAGTTACACCAACTCTGTCAGGAGGAATGGGCCAAAATTCACCCAACTTATTGTGGGAAGCTTGTGGAAGGCTACCTGAAAGGTTTGACCCAAGTTAAACAATTTAAAGGCAATGCTAACAAATTCTAATTGAGTGTTTGTAAACTTCTGACCCACTGGGAATGTGATTCAATAAATAAAAGCTGAAATAAATCATTCTCTCTACTATTATTCAGACATTTCACATTCTTAAAATAAAGTGGTGATCCTAACTAAGACAGGGAATTTTTACTAGGATTAGATGTCAGGAATTGTGAAAAACTGAGTTTAAATGTATTTAGCTAAGGTGTATGTAAACTTCCGACTTCAACTGTACCTTCAACAATCAAAGCATCTAATGATGGTAATAAGAGCTCATCACAGCTAAATGACTCATTACCGTAATAACTCCACTTAGGTTACCAACATCTCATTATCAGTGGCTTAGCGATGACTGCTTAGAGGCAATTGAATTTCTAGTTCAGATTCAAACATGACAAATCTCCAATGACACTCTATTCCCAATACAGTACAAAGTGCATAGGACAGAACCCCATAGAATAGGGTGTCATTTATGGTCATTTGGCCTCAGTGTTTGGGAGGCTCACTGATGATCAGAGGCACCTGTTTGGCTGTCACATAGTTTAGGTGTCTCACCTGTCATCGTTGTGTCCCCTCAGAGGGTTGATGCCAGCCAGGCCAGGCATATTGATGTGGTCTCCGATCAACATGATGTCACCAACATTGAACTTAGGGTTCAGTCCTCCTGCAGCGTTGGTCACTATCAACGTCTCCACCCCCAGCAGAGTAAACACACGCACCGGGTACGTCACCTGCACAACACACACGGAATATACAGTATATATAAACACACACAACCTCAGCAGTCAGAGTGGGCCTAAACCATTACAGTGTCTTAGAGTGACAGAGAGCATCATCACATTAATCAGCTGTCTTTACTTAGGACTCAGCAGCCCACTGCTGTCTCAACTATAATGTCATCTGCCAGCCCTGTGGTCAGAGTAGTCTAGGAGCTTCATGTTGGACAATGACACAGCAGAATCCAATACAGTACTATGTAACAAGCTTAGGTCCTGCTTAGACAGTATCAGTTGAATATGTTTATTGCATGTCTGTATTTTACAGCAATTTGTCTTCAAAATACTTTTTACGGAATGCATAGCATAGTATGTACTGTACGTATGTTGCATTGTGTTTCAGAGCAGAAGAGGCAGTCTCACCGTGGCAATGTTGTAGCCCTCATAGTAATGGAACCGGCCCTGCATACAAACACAGGCCTTCCCTTGCAGCTCCCCAAACACCAGATTCCCAGCATGGCCTGGCACTGAGAGAGAGAAGAGAAGGAGGAGAGAGACGAGAGAGGAGAGCGAGGAGAGAGAGAGAGAGAGAGAGAGGAGAGAGAGAGAGCCGAGAGGATGAGAGGAGAGAGGAGAGAGAGAGAGAGAGAGAGAGGAGACGAGATGAGAGATTGGCGACGAGAGAGCGACGAGAGAGAGAGAGAGGAGAGACCGAGAGAGAGAGAGAGAGAGAGGAGAGAGAGAGAGACGAGAGGAGAGGAGGGAGAGAGTGGAGAGAGAGAGAGAGAGAGAGGAGAGAGAGAGAGAGAGAGAGAGAGAGAGAGAGAGAGAGAGAGAGATACACACATACGTGCACAGCACAGGAGGTTGCTGAGGGGAGGACGGCTCATAATAATGTCTGGAATGGAGTGAAATTGAATGGTATCAACAACATGGAAACCAGGTGTTTGATGTGTTTGATACCATTCCATTTATTCCACTTGTGGTGCACAGGCATATTCACACTAACATACACCAACTTCCTTGCCAGATTTAGGGCCGACGAGGTGTTGCACACACACACACACACACGCGCAAACACACACACATACATACATACATACCCACGTATGTTACCCTGCATGGTATGGGATTAAGGGAGACAGATGTGGAAAGGGGGTCAAGTTGCAGGTCAAAGCACTAACAGACCAGTCTACCTGCTGTGCAGTATGGTGGGAGTTTGGTGTGTGCCTCAGTGGCAGAGCTAGTTCCCCTACCCCCTGAGGGGTGATTAAGCCCTGTCCCCCAGAGCTTAAGTCTGAGTAGGAAAACAACCCACCTACCCCCCATCTACCCCCCATGGTCCCTCAGTAATGATGTCACCTGGGACCAATGTTGATGACATAGCTTTAGAACTTTATTATGCAATGTAGTCATGTGCTTTGAGGTGAAGAAGATGTTAAGCTACAGACTCACAACACAGTGTCAGAGAAACAAAGTCTTCAAGGTTATGCGTGTATATAAGGTGAATGCACCTATTTGTAAGTCGCTCTGGATAAGAGCGTCTGCTAAATGACGTAAATGTAAATGTAAATATACTGTACCTGTGCTCTGAGGGAAGCGAGGGATGTCTTTATAAGGGAAGGCTACACTATTCTCCAGTAAGTCTGCCAGCCCTCCCAGTCCAGAACCACAGATGATGGCCACCTTGGGCTTGTGCTGCATACGCTCCAGCAGCCAATCAGTTGTCTCCTTGTACTGCTCATATGTGTACCTGAAAGGTGAAGAGAGATAGTGAGAGAGAAAACAGTGAAGGGTTAGGGGCAAAGGGAACGATGTGGGCGGTGTAAATGCAGTTTTTTCCCACTCCTGCAGTGGAGCGTTTAGCTCAGGCCCTGGGCAAGGTAACTTGGCAGGACGGTGATGAATCACAGGCTGAGAAGCCTCCATAAGCAAATCCACTGGAGCACAGCAAGCAAGCAGTCCCTCACACACACATCAGAATGCAATACTCAACACACGCGTGGGTGGTGATGTGTGTGTGTGTGGGCCCTCAAGTGGGCCCTGAAGCCTGATTGGAGGGTTAGGATGCGTAAATAAATCCCCATCCCTCTGGCCCCATCAGCCAGCAGGGATAAGCATGCTTGTGCTAGCCTTGATCATGGGGGGTGGGAGGTGGGGGAGGAATGGCTTGAGCAATTCATCAAATTCGATCAATTCAATTCACTGGGTGAGTAGACATTTCTCTCTGCCCTGAAGGCAAGGACAGAGCGAGAGAGAGAGAGAGAGAGAGAGACAGAGACAGAGACAGAGACAGAGACAGAGACAGAGACAGAGAGAGTGTCACGCCCTGGCTCGGGGGACTCTTAAATGTTGAGCCAGGGTGTGGAGTTTCTGTTACATTTTCTATGTTTTCGTTCTAGATCGTTTAGATCTATGTTGGCCAGGGTGGTTCCCAATCAGAGGCAGCTGTAGCTCGTTGTCTCTGATTGGGGTCCATACTTAGGCAGCCTGTTTTCACTAGTTTAGTGTGGGATCTTGTTCCGTAAGGTTTTGTGTATAACCTAGGACTTCACGTATCGTTTGGTTTATTGTTTTGGTTCGTGTGTGTACTCAATAAAGAATGTACGCTTATCACGCTGCGCCTTGGTCCGCTTCATCTGTCGACGATCGTGACCGAAGATCCCACCACCAGAGGACCAAGCAGCGTGCCCAGGAGGAGAAGTTGGCGATGTCCCAGGTGGGCGAATGGTGGTCTTGGGAGGACATATTCGCGGGCAGAGGGCCATGGGCAAAAGTAAATGCCCAGGCAGGAGAGGAGAAACGGCGCCAACCGTGCCGACGACGGACACGCGAGAGGCAACCCCAAGTAATTTTGTAGGGGGGGCACACGGCGTGGACGACGGGGCTGCTGGAGGCAGCTACAGGACGAATCGGCGGATTAGGAGAGGAGGCCACCAGGTTTGGGGGGCTGGAAGGGTGGTTGGCGGAGCCTAGAGCTAGAGCAAAGCCAACTCCCCGTACTCAGGCTAGGCAGCGTGAGACTGGGCAGGTTCCGTGTTATGCGGAGCCACGTACTGTGCCGCGAGTGTTCCGACACAGTCCTGTACGTCCTGTGCTAGCACCACGCACGTGTCGTGCTAAGGTGGGCATGCAGCCAGGACGGAGTGTGCCGGCTCAACGCTCGTGGCCTCCAGTACCCCTCCTCGGTCCCAGATATCCTCCGCCAGTGCCACGTGCTGTAGTGCCAGTACGAGTGCACAGCCCTGTACGTCCTGTGCTGATGCCTCACACGCGTCGCCAGCCCGGTCCGGCCTGTTCCTGTCCCTCGCACCAAACCAGTGGTGCGCGTCGCCAGCCCGGTCCGGCCCGTTCCTGCTCCCCGCACCAAGCCAGTGGTGCGCGTCGCCAGCCCGGTCCGGCCTGTTCCTGTCCCTCGCACCAAGCCTGTGGTGCGCGTCGCCAGCCCGGTCCGGCCTGTTCCTGCTCCCCGCACCAAGCCTGTGGTGCGTGTCGCCAGCCCAGTCCGGCCTGTTCCTGTCCCTCGCACCAAGCCTGTGGTGCGCGTCGCCAGCCCGGTCCGGCCTGTTCCTGCTCCCCGCACCAAGCCTGTGGTGCGCGTCGCCAGCCCGGTCCGGCCTGTTCCTGTCCCTCGCACCAAGCCTGTGGTGCGCGTCGCCAGCCCGGTCCGGCCTGTTCCTGCTCCCCGCACCAAGCCTGTGGTGCGCGTCGCCAGCCCGGTCCGGCCTGTTCCTGTCCCTCGCACCAAGCCTGTGGTGCGCGTCGCCAGCCCGGTCCGGCCTGTTCCTGCTCCCCGCACCAAGCCTGTGATGCGCGTCGCCTCTTAAAGGCAGTAATGGGTGAGAGGTTGGAAGAAAAGGTAGCTAGTTTTAGCTTTGTTTTTTGTAGGGTGAGCAGCCTCTGTAGTTTGTTTGCTAAATAGACGGTTACACTTTAATGCGGTCCGTATTAAACTATTTATAAGCATTTATATAAAGACTGCACACAATTAAAGGTTAGGGTTAGGTAAGGGTTAGGGTTAAATAGCGCTAACTTTAGATTAGGGACTGCAAAAATACTTTACATATAATTATTAAAGGTTTATAAATGTGGGAGTAATGGACCGTTAAAATAAAGTGTTACCAAATAGACTATTCAAAACATTCTATAAGCTACCTAAATGAAACTCATGCCTACACTCTTTGAAAAAAAGATGCTCTCTAGAACCTAAAAGGGTTCTTCAGTTGTCCCCATAGGAGAACCCTTGGAAGAACCCTTGTTGGTTCCAGGTAGAACACTTTTGTATGGAGGTGAAAAGTATGGAATAAAAAGTTGCCTACATTATTTTTTTGTAGGAATGTAGCGGAGTAAAAGTAAAAGTTTGCAAAAAATATACATAGTAAAGTACAGATACCCCCAAAAACAACTTAAGTAGTACATTTAAGTATTTTTACTTAAATACTTTACACCACTGCCTATGGGGTCACCAGAATAACCCTTTTGGAACCCTTTTTTCTAAGAGTGTAACGCTATAGGCTTATAGCCTAATCTTGCGCCTGCATAGCCTGTAGTGTTTTGGCTGCAGCGTTGTTTTATTGTGTGCAATAGGCAAGCTCTCATCGAATTCAAACTGGCTATCTGTAGTATTTTTTTTATTTCATCCACCTTGAATCATATGGGAAGGACGTTTTGGCTATCTACCTGTCACTTTGACTGGGGGCGTTATCAGAAACGAGAGCTACTGCCGCCATATTACCCTTGCGCTTTCTCACTGCACTCTCAAATTCTCTACGAGGAATGATCGCCGTTGCTATGGCAATGATCTGGTTGTGCCCGAGTTAATGGATAATTCGAATAGGCGAAACAAGTTTATGAGATGATAGATGAAGGTTTGTTCCTTCTGACCCAGCCTAATATCATGTAGTCGTTTAAATGTATCGTACCTGCTCTCGCTGGCGGATGACATGTCGGCTGCAGTTGAGGAAATTGTTAGATTTATTTATCTTGCTGTCTTGATGCGAAGTGATACATCTGTTAGCTTGAAAGATGAGGGTGGAGTGATTCGCTCGCGGTGTGGATTAACAATAGTGCAGCACGCGGACTGGCTTGGGGGCCAGTGCTGGCTTAATGCAGGGGTTTACCGGGGCTGAAGCCCCTTGGCCCAGGCCTGTGGGGGGCCCAAGAGGCTACAAATAAATAATTAAAAAATAAGGAAATATGTATACAGTGGCAAGACAAAGTATGTGAACCCTTTGGAATTACCTGGATTTCTGCATAAATTGGTCATAAAATTTGATCTGATCTTCATCTAAGTCACAACAATAAACAAACACAGCCTGCTTAAACTAATAACACACAAACAATTATATGTGTTCATGTCTTTATTGAAAACACAGTGTAAACATTCACAGTGCAGGGTGGGAAAAGTATGTTAACCCTTGGATTTAATAACTGGTTGACCCTCCTTTGGCAGCAATAACCTCAACCAAACGTTTTCTGTAGTTGCGGATTAGACCTGCACAACGGTCAGGAGGAATTTTGGACCATTCCTCTTTACAAAACGGTTTAAGTTCAGCAATATTCTTGGGATGTCTGGTGTGAACCGCTCTCTTGAGGTCATGCCACAGCATCTCAATCAGGTTGCGGTCAGGACTGACTGGGCCACTCCAGAAGGCGTATTTTCTTCTGTTGAAGCCATTCTGTTGTTGATTTACTTCTGTGTTTTGGGTCGTTGTCCTATTGCATCACTCAACTTCTGTTGAGCTTCAATTGGCGGACAGATAGCCTTACATTCTCCTGCAAAATGTCTTGATAAACTTGGGAATTCATTTTTCCGTCGATGTTAGCAAGCTGACCAGGCCCTGAGGCAGCAAAGCAGCCCCAAACCATGATGCTCCCTCCACCATACTTTACAGTTGGGATGAGGTTTTGATGTTGGTGTGCTGTGCCTTTTTTTCGCCACACATAGTGTTGTGTCTTCCTTCCAAACAACTCAACTTTAGTTTCATCTGTCCACAGAATATTTTGCCAGTAGCGATGTGGAATATCCAGGTGCTCTTTTGCGAACCTCAGACCTGCAGCAATGTTTTTTTGGGACAGCAGTGGCTTCTTCCGTGGTGTCCTCCCACGAACACAATTCTTGTTTAGTGTTTTACGTATCGTAGACTCGTCAACAGAGATGTTAGCATGTTCCAGAGATTTCTGTAAGTCTTTAGCTGACACTTTAGGATTCTCCTTAACCTCATTGAGCTTTCTGCGCTGTGCTCTTGCAGTCATCTTTGCAGGACAGCCACTCCTAGGGAGAGTAGCAACAGTGCTGAACTTTCTCCATTTATAGACAATTTGTCTTACCGTGGACTGATGAACATTAAGGCTTTTAGAGATACTTTCATAACCTTTTCCAGCTTTATGCAAGTCAACAATTCTTAATCTTAGGTCTTGTGAGATCTCTTTTGTTCAAGGCATGGTTCACATCAGGCAATGCTTCTTGTGAATAGCAAACTCAAATATATAGATATATATACAGTGCCTTCGTAAAGTATTCAGACCACTTGACCTTTTCCGCATTTTGTTACACTACAGCCTTATTCTAAAATTGATTAAAAAAATAAGAATCCTCAGCAATCTACACACAATACCCCATAATGACAAAGCGAAAACAGGTTTTTATAATTTTTTTGCAAATGTATAAAAAAATTAAAAACAGAAATACCTTATTTACATAAGTATTCAAACCCTTTGCTATGAGACTCGAAATTGAGCTCAGGTGCATCCTGTTTCCATTGATCATCCTTGAGATGTTTCTACCCGGACTATTTGCATTGCCATTTGTTTTTCTTCTTAAAACTGCATTGTTGGTTAAGGGCTTGTAAGTAAACATTTCACTGTAAGGTCTACACCTGTTGTATTCGGCGCATGTGGCAAATACAATTTGATTTGATTTGATTGGAGGCCACCTGTGGTCATTTCAATTGATTGGCATGATTTGGAAAGGCACACAACTGTCTATATAAGGTCCCACAGTTGACAGTGCATGTCAGAGCAAAAACCAAGCCATGAGGTCGAAGGAACTGTCCATAGAGCTCAGAGACAGGATTGTGTCAAAGCACAGATCTGGGGAAGGGTACAAAAACAACTCTGCAGCACTGAAGGTCCCCAAGAACACAGTGGCCTCCATTTTTCTTAAATGGAAGAAGTTTGGAATAACCAAGACTCTTCCTAGAGCTGGCCGCCTGGCCAAACTGAGCAATCGGGGAAGAAGGGTCTTGGTCAGGGAGGTGACCATGAACCCGATGGTCACTCTGACAGAGCTCCAGAGTTCCTCTGTGGAGATGGGAGAACCATCCAGAAGGACAACCATCTCTGCAGCACTCCACCAATCAGGCCTTTATGGTAGAGTGGCCAGACGGAAGCCACTCCTCAGTAAAAGGCACATGACAGCCCGCTTGGAGTTTGCCAAAAGGCACCTAAAGGACAGACCATGAGAAACAAGATTATCTGGTCTGATGAAACCAGGATTGAAATATTTGGCCTGAATGCCAAGCGCCACGTCTGGAGGAAACCTGGCACCATCCCTACGGTGAAGCATGGTGGTGGCAGCATCATGCTGTGGGGATGTTTTTCAGTGTCAGGGACTGGGAGACTAGTCAGGATCGAGGCAAAGATTAACGGAGCAAAGTACAGAGAGATCCTTGATGAAAACCTGCTCCAGAGCGCTCAGGACCTCAGACTGGGGCAAAGGTTCACCTTCCAACAGGACAACGACCCTAAGCACATAGCCAAGACAACGCAGGAGTGGCTTCGGGCCAAGTCTCTGAATGTCCTTGAGTGGCCCAGCAAGAGCCCGGACTTCAACCTGATCGAACATCTCTGGAGAGACCTGAAAATAGCTGTGCAGCGACACTCCCCATCCAACCTGACAGAGCTTGAGAGGATCTGCAGAGAAGAATGGGAGAAACTCCCCAAATACAGGTGTGCCAAACTTGTAGCCTCATACCCAAGAAGACTCAATGCTGTAATTCAACAAAGTACTGAGTAAAGGGTCTGAATACTTATGTAAATTTTATATTTCCGTTTTTTATTTGTAATACATTTGCTAATATTTCTACAAACCTGTTTATGCTTTGTCATTATGGGGTATTGTGTGTAGATGGGGCGACGACGACGACGACAATTTAATACATGTTATAATAAGGCTGTAATGTAACAAAATCTGGAAAAAGTCAAGAGGTCTGAATACTTTCCCGAAGGCACTGTATATATATATATATATATATATATATATATATATATATAGTTCATACACTGCTCTTAGAACGCAGGGAAATACGACTTTGCTCAAGAGGATACTACTTCATCAATGTTAAAAACACCCTATTCTCGCTATTATGACATTAAAATACACGACAGTGTTCATCGGTGTGTTGGTACTTTGTTAAAAACACCCTATTCTCGCTATTATGACATTAAAATACACGACAGTGTTCATCGGTGTGTTGGTACTTTGTTAACTTGTATTTGACTGTGTTGTTACTGTAAATGCGTTATTTCATTCTAACTGGAGCTAGTACCTGCCGCCTTCAGCCGCGCCGTTCTCGTCTAATCTCTGCAAATTTTACAATTTGGAGATGCGTTTCTAGTTTTTTGTTCCTGGGGTTTGGACAAATCATCATCAACTTGATCTATATGTCATTTGAATCTACGGAAGTCCAGCTTCCTGTTCCTATCACCCCAATTCGCCAATCTTTTAAGTATATTTTTCTGTGGCAATTTAAAGAGAAGATGTCGAAAAAACACCACAGAATTTGAAGTTCCTGATTGTCGAGTTATTATTGAATTGTAGCATATTTACTTTGTATGTACATATACATTCACCCACAGTCATGTTTAATATTCTGCAGATTTCAACTAGAAAATGTACTGTCCCGTTAAACTGCCACCATGAAACTCAGAGCTAGCAGTTTAGCTAACGAATGAAATTCCAGAGGTGCAGCGTTCGAGGATGCTGCCCAGTTCTCGCTTGTAGTGACTAGTGAAGCGTTTTTTACAGTGTCGCAGATGGCGAATATGTAGTAGTTATTATGTTATTTAGAAAACTTTGTCCCGATGAATGTGCTGTTGACTGTCAAATATGAAGAAAAACAACTTTCAGGTGTCTCATCCATCAGGAGAGCTTCCCCTGTTCTGATTTCCCGCCCCTCATTTCCGCCCCTCATTTCGGCTCACGACCTCATATCACATGCACTCCTGTGTCGATAGCTGCGTTGATAGTCAGAGAATTGGTTGTGTGTGCGGGTAGAGAAATGTCTTCTTGCGCTGTTTTCTGTCAATCAACGTTATGAAATGTTTTCAAAATAAACCTACAATAAAAACAATAAGCTAGTCGTAGAACTCTGTGGGGCACAGTAGTATTCTCTTACCCTCATTACTAAACAGCCATGAACAAGAATTCAATTTCTTATGTGACCCCTTCATTGACCAAATTTGTAATAAATTATGGGCTATTTCAGTTTTGCTCCTTCAGAAAGTATTCGTACCCCTTGACTTATTCCACATTTTGTTGTTACAGCCTGAATAATAATGTTAAAAAATGTCTTACCCATCTACACACTATAACCCATAATGACAAAATGAAACCATGTTTTTAGAAATGTTCCCAAAATTATTGAAAATGAAAAACATAAATATCTAATTTACATAAGTATTCATACCCCTGAGCCAATACATGTTAGAATCACCCTTGACAGCGATTACAGCTGTGAGTCTTTCTGGGTAAGCCTCTACGAGCTTTGCACACCTGGATTGTACAATATTTACACATTATTCTTTTTACAATTCTTCAAGCTCTGTCAAGTTGGTTGTTGATCATTGCTAGACAGCCATTTTCAAGTTTTGCCATAGATGTTCAAGATGAACTAAGTCGAAACTGTAACTAGGCCAGTCAAGATCATTCAATGTCATCTTGGT